CAACAAAATGTATCTGAGCACACACCAGCAATGTATGTATATTTTTTCCATTAAATATATATTTATAACCACAAGTTGTAGTTACATTTACTATTTAATAAAGCTCAATTTCTTAAAATTAAATAAAAACTTAAAAAGACAGCTCCAAAGAGAGAGAGAGAGCAAGAGAGAGAAAGCAAGCCAGCCAAGCATGGTGCATCACGCCTGTAATCCCAGCACTTTGGGAGGCCAAGGCAGGTGGATCACTTGAAGCCAGGAGTTCGAGATCAGTCTGGCCAACATAGTGAAACCCTCTCTCTACTAAAAATACAAAAATTAGCTGGGCATGGTGGCCAGCACCTGTAATCCCAGCTACTCGGGAAGCTGAGGCATGAGAATCACTTGAACCCAGGAGGTGGAGGTTGCAGTGAGGCCAAGATGGCACCACTGCACTCCAGCCTGGGCAACAGAATGAGACTCTGTCTCAAAAAAATACAAAAACAAAAACTCACAAATGGATAAGCAGACTTTTGTGTATCCTTAAAAAGGAAGGAAATTCTGACATGTGGGTAAATACTGAGAACACCATGCTGAGTGAAATAAACCAGATAGAAAATTCCACCTATCTGAGATGCCTAAAGTAATCAAATTCATAGAGATAGAAAGTCACATGGTGGGTGCCAGGGGCTGAGGACTCCTCTGTGATCACAGTGGAGCAGAGAGAGGGACCCTGGGAACTAGGCCTGGGGAGCCCAGAGCAGGAAGCCGCAGCTGTCTCTGGGAAAGCAAGGGAGGCTTCCTGGAGGAAGGGGTATTGTTATGAGCCTTGAAGGATGAGACAGACTCTGCTACATTCAACCTCGTGACTTCATGATCCTGGGACTGAGAATGCAGGAATAATTAATAACCCACCCTGCACCCCCATGCAGACACCAGAGCTCTGTGGACCAAGGGAACATTCTGAATATATACTTTTAAAAACTGAATATATACTTTTTTTTTTTTTTTTTTTTTTTTTTGAGACGGAGTCTCGCTCTGTCGCCCAGGCTGAAGTGCAATGGCCGGATCTCAGCTCACTGCAAGCTCCGCCTCCCGGGTTCACGCCATTCTCCTGCCTCAGCCTCCCGAGTAGCTGGGAGTACAGGCGCCCGCCACCTCGCCCGGCTAATTTTTTTTGTATTTTAGTAGAGACGGGGTTTCATTGTGTTAGCCAGGATGGTCTCCATCTCCTGAACTCGTGATCCGCCCGTCTCGGCCTCCCAAAGTGCTGGGATTACAGGCTTGAGCCACCGCGCCCGGCCTATATACTTTTTTTAATAGTATATACTGAATATATGCTTTTTAAAAATACTTTCAAAAAAGTTTTTTAAATAGTATATACTGAATATATACTTTTTAAAAAATACTTTTAAAAACTGAATATACACTTTAAAAAAATTTTTTTCACTAAAAGCAGCATACTATACAAATAAATGTGAACTTCAGTTGTTTCCTTGAATCATGTACCTTGGAGGATTTTCTTTTTTGAGACAGGGTCTCGCTCTATCGCCCAGGCTGGAGTGCAGTGGCGCAATCTTGGCTCACTGCAACCTCTGCCTCACGGGTTCAAGCGATTCTCCTACCTCAGCTTCCTGAGTAGCTGGGACTACAGGTGTGCGCCACCACGCCCGGTTAATTTTTGTATTTTTGGTAGAGACGGGATTTCACCGTGTTAGCCAGGCTGGTCTCAAACTCCTGACTGATTCGCCCTCCTTGGCCTCCCAAAGTGCTGGGATTACAGGCATGCGCCACCACTCCCGACTAATTTTTGTATTTTTATTAGAGATGGGGTTTCTCCATGTTGGTCAGGCCGGTCTCAAACTCCCAACCTCAGGTGATCCTCCTGCCTCAGCCTGCCAAAGTTCTGGGATTACAGGCATGAGCCACCACACCTGGCCATTATTATTATTTTACTTTTAAATTTTAAGACACAGAAACACAGGACATACTGATAGCACAGTGGCTCAGGCATGTAATCCCAACACTGGGAGGTGGAGGCAAGAGAATCACTTGAGTCCAGGATTTTGAGACCAGCCTGGGTAGCATAGCAAAATCCCATCTCTACAAAAAATTTAAAAAATTAGCCTGGTGTGGTGGCATGTCCCTGTAGTCTCAGTTACTCAAGAGGCTGAAGCGGAAGGATCCCTTGCATCCAGGAGTTGGAGGCTGCAGTAAGCTATGATCGCACCACTGCACTTCAACCTGCTGACTGAACAGACCCTGTCTCAAATAAATAAATAAATACATAAAATAAGAAAGGACATACATAGACTGATTCTGTTAGAACCCAAAGACAAAGTCATTCCTCCTTTCAATCCTTTCAAACCTCTGCAGTGGCTTCTCCTTTTATTTAGACTTTTTTTTTTTTTTTTTTTTTTTTTTTTTTGAGACGGGGTCTTGCTCTGTCATTCAGATTAAAGTACATGGTGCAATCACTCAGCCTTAACCTTCCAGCTCAGAAGATCCTCCCACCTCAGCCTCCTGAGTAGCTGGGACCACAGGTGTGTGCCTCCATAACTAGCTAACTTTAACACATTTTTTTGTAGATACGGGGTCTCACTATGTTGCCCAGGCTGGTCTTGAACTCCTGGTCTCAAACAATCCTTCCGCTTTGGCCTCCCAAAGTGCTGGGATTACAGGTGTGAGCCATGACGTCTGGCATGCTTCCCCTCTTATTTAGACTCAGATCAAAACTGCATCATCTGACCACTGAATATTTGTCTCAAATTATTGCCTACTTTTTCCCCATCACCCACTCATTCCAGCAACACTGACTTCTTTGCTGTGCCATTTCGTCTGTCTGTCTTTCTTTATTTCTTTTCAGAGACAGGGTCTCTCTCTGTCACCCAGGCTGGTGTGCAGTGGCATGATCATAGTTCACTGCAACCTCAAACTCCTGGACTCAAGCGATCCTCCAGCCTTGGCCTCCTAAAGTGCTGGTATTACAAGTGTGAGCCACCATGCCTGGCCTACTTGCTGTTTCTTAAACACACCAACCTCAATACCTTTGCACTTGCTGTTCCCTCTACATAGAATGCTTTTCCCAAATACCCACAAGGCTCCCTTCTTCATTTCCTTCATGTGCTCAAATATCACCTCGTCCAAGAGGCCCTCCAGGATCACCTCAAGATAGCACACTGTCCCTTTATTTTCTTATCTGTTTTATTTCCCATCATCTGACATGGTTCTCTCTCTTTTCCCTCCCTCCCTCCCTCCCTTTCTTCCTTCCTTCCTTTCTCCCTCCCTTCCCTTCCTTTTCTTTTCTTTCTAAAAAAAACAAAAATAGAAACAGGGGTCTTGCTTTATTGAGCAGGCTGCTTTTAGATTTCTGGGCTCAAGTGATCCTCCCACCTCCGCCTCCCAAAGTGCTGGGATTACAGACATGAGCCACCATGCCCTGAAGGCATATACTACTATGCTTGTTTCTTGCCTGTCTCCACCCACTAAAATGTCAGCTCCATGGGCACGAGACTGTTGTCTATTTGCTCTACCCACATCATCAACACTGTGGAAATAAAAAACTGACTAAGGAGCCTGGGTTGGGGACTGGAAGTGATCAAGCTGGCACATCCCGGCAGTACAGTCCAACCTGAGAAGCTCGTGACACCTCCTACCTGGACAAGACAGGGTAATTCTCTAACCCTCAGTTTCTTCATCTGTGAAATGGAACTTGCCAGGAAGAAAGTCTTATTAAGGGCTGGAATGTAGTCGGTGTCTAATAAATTAGAGCCCTGAATAGTTGTGTTGACGGTAGCTTTATTCCTTGGTCTCCTGGGTCCTGCCCGGCCTTGCCTGAGAAGCTCTGAGCTCAAAGCCCTGGAGGAGGGAGTAAAACCAGAGGCTGCATCTCTGCAAGGACACATCCCTACAAGGCCGCCCCTCCCGCCCGCGCCTTCTCGGTGCTAACTCCCGATCCCAGGGAGGGGAAGGCGGGCGGAATCTGAGCGGCAGGCGCAGCTGCTCCGGGCGGGCGGCCAAAGTCCCCTCCCTCCCTCATTGGCATTCCTGCGGGAGGGGCCGAGCGCAGCTGCCTGCCTGGCCGGAGGCTCGCTTGCGCCCTCTGGTGTCCAAGTGCGAGAGGCCACGTGGACTTGCGCCCGAGCAGCCGGTCTGTCCCAGGCCACTGTCTGCCGCTCAGGTGGACCTGGGTGGAGCTAGGTCTACCCCCTACCTTTCTTGGGCTCCCTTTACCATTCGGGTTCACGAACTCAGCTTCCGTCACTAAACTTGCTGTGTGACCCTGAGCAAGACACTCAACCTCGCTGTGCCACAGTTTCTTAGCTGTGCAATGTGGGACAGGATCCTTCACCTTTTTAGTGCCACTCTTTCTTTTCTTTTTTCTTTCTTTCTCTTTCTTTCTTTCTTTTTCTTTCTTTCTTCTTTCTTTTTCTTTCTTTCCTTCTTTCTCTTCTCTTTCATTCGTTCTTTCTCTTCTTTTTCTTTCTTCTCTTTCTTTTTCTCTTCTTTCTATTATTTCTCTTTTCTTTTTTCTTTCTTTTCTCTTTCTTTTTCTTTCTTTCTTCTCTTTCATTCATTCGTTCTTTCTCTTTCTTCTCTTTTTCTCTTCTTTCTGTCTCTTCTTTCTTTTCTTTCTTCTTTCTTTCTTTCTCTCTATCTATTATAGAGATGGGGTCTCACTATGTTGCCCATGCTGGTCTCAAACTCCTGGGCTCAAGCAATCCTCCTGCTTTGGCCTCCAAAGTGCTGGGATTACAAGAGTAAGCCACCACTCCCGGTTGCCTTCTTCTTTTTTCTTTTTCTTTTTCTTTCTTTCTTTCTTCTTTTCTTTTCTTTTCTTTTTTTTTTTTTTTTTTAATTTTTGGGACACAATCTCACTCTATCACCCAGGCCAGAGTGCAGTGGCAGGATTACTGTTCACTGTAGCCTTGACTCCCGTGCTCAAGCGATCCTCCCACCTCAGCCCCATGAGTAGTTGGTGTTACGCACGCGTCTAATTGAAGAGACACCCTGAACAGACTAAGTGTGAGCAACAAGGCTGTTTATTCACTTTTCAGCTGAGTCCAAAAAGGGAGTCAGTGAAGGGTGGTGGGAGTGGAACTGGTTTTATAGGTTTGGGGTAGGTAGTGGAAAGATAGTTAGGGGCGGTTTCTTCGGGCAGGGGAAGAATGTCACAAGGTGCATAGTCACAAGGTGGGGGAAGGTCACAAGGCATGATATCACAAGGTCAATTGATTAGATAGGATAGGGCAGGAACAGATCACAATGGTGGAATGTTGCAAGATTGGTTAATCGGTTAAGGCAGGAACTAGCCGTTTCTTCTTCTTTAGTGGTTCTCCTGTTGCTCCAGGCTTTGTGACTCCAGGAGGCCTGTACATGTGGGTCACAGGGACCACAATGGCTCGATCATGGTGTAGTATGTTCACAGGACCTTACATTCCTGTCTTTTTATGTTTAATAATGAAAAATAAAATAAGAAAGAAATAAAATGAGAAAGAGTAGTGTAATGTTGGGATGTTGGGGTGAAAATTTTAGGGGTGCCAAGGAGGGGTGATGGGTGATGTTTTGGGGTGATGGACAATGTTTCTAAGGGTTGCTTTGAGTGGGGTTGGGGCAGCATGGGAACCTAAAGTTGGAGAGATTAAACTGAGGAAAGATCTTGGGGTAGGAGTTGGTATTGCGGGGTTGTTAGAAGGAGGATTTGCCGTATTGATTAATTAGTAATAGCTTAGATACGATTTTGTATAAACTGAGAGATTAGCCTGAAAAGACAAGGTCTGATCAAGAGGACAAGAAGGATGAGTGTGAAAGGGCCTGTTAGTGGAAGGAGCCATGAAGCTAGGCTAGAGAATGGCAAGGTAAGTCCAGAATAATTATTTGCCTGATTTGCAAGTTTTTGAGCTTTGTCTTTAAGTTTTTTAATGTTATCATATATGAGGCCAGATTGATTTAAGTAAAAGCAGCATTCTTCATTTAAGAATAGGCAGAGCCAGGTGTAATGGCTCACGCCTGTAATCCCAGCACTTTGGGAGGGCAAGGTGGGCGGATCACAAGGCCAGGAGATTGAGACCATCCTAGTTAACATGGTGAAACCCCATCTCTACTAAAAATACAAAAAATTAGCCGGGCGTGGTGGCGGCTGCCTGAAGTCCCAGCTACTTGGGACCTGAGGCAGGAGAATGGCGTGAACCTGGGAAGCAGAGCTTGCAGTGAGCAGAGATCAGGCCACTGCACTACAGCCTGGGTGACAGAGCAAGACTCTGTCTCAAAAAAGAAAAGAAAAGAAAAGAACAGAAAAGAACAGAAAAGAAAAGAACAGAAAAGAAAAGAAAAGAAAAGAACAGAAAAGAAAAGAAAAGAAAAAAAAAGAATAAGGCGGCCTTCCGGCCCTTCAGGGTCTAGTGCTGTGTATCACCTGAAGGTGGCAGCTAGATGGGCCATACACTGAGCTGGATTTTCGTATTTGTTCTGAATGGTCTCCTTTAGTTTGTCATAATTGATGGTTTCATATGCAGCCTTCTGAAGCCCTTGAGCTAGGCAAGAGATCATATGGTCCTGCCTGGCTATTCCTTGGAGCCCTGACTGGTAGGTGCATTGGGGGTCTTCACGGGGTACCTCCCTAGCACCTTTTTGGAGGCCAGGCTCAAGGTGCCAGTAGTCATCAGCGTAAGATTGAGCTAGGGTCCAAACTCGCTCTCGCTCCTCAGGAGCCAGAGTAGAGATGAGGATGATGTTTAAGTCATTCCAGTTAAGATTATAGCACTGGGTTAAGTATCGGAGTTCTTGTATATGGTTGGTGGGGTCAGACGAGAAAGAGCCTAGGCGTTGACTAATTTGGGAGAGGTTCGACAGGGAGAAAGGGACATGAACCTGGACTATTCCTTCGGCTCCTGCCACCTCTCGAAGGAGAAATTGCTGGGCAGGGGCAGGGGCAGGGGGCCGGCCGCGGGGCCAAATTGTAAGCCAGATAGGGTGCGAGGAGGGGTGGTGATGGGAGGGGCATAAGGGGGGTGGGTTGTGGGTAGAAGAGGGATCAGATTCTGAGGGGGAATTAGAACCGAGTTCGGGTGGGTGAGGGGGAGAAATATCAGAGGGATTAACGGACAAACAGGAATCAGCATCACCAATGGAAGAAGGAAGGGAGATAAGGAAAACCTGGGACGGGTCACGTTGGGAGCAGAGGCTAGGGAGAGAGATACCATAGTGTAAAAAATGCCTGGACGGCCGGGCGCGGTGGCTCGTGCCTGTAATCCCAGCACTTTGGGAGGCCAAGGCGGGCAGATCACTTGAGGCCAGGAGTTTGAGACCATCCTGGCTAACACGGTGAAAACTCATCTCTACTAAAAATACAAAAAAATTAGCCGGACATGGTGGCGGGCGCCTGTAGTCTCAGCTACTCGGGAGGCTGAGGCAGGAGAATGGCGTGAACCCGGGACGCAGAGCTTGCAGTGAGTCGAGATCACGCTACTGTACTCCAGCCTGGGTGACAGAGCGAGACTCCGTGTCAAAGAAAAAAAAAAATGCCTGGACGTAGGGTACCTCAGACCGTTTGCCCATTTTGTGACAGAAGTTGTCAAAGTCCCACAAAATAGAGAAATCGGAAGTGCTGTTTTCTGGCCACTGAGAGCCGTTGTCTAATTTATCTTGGGGCCAGGCCATGTTACAGCAAATAATAATAATAATGATAAACGTTTAGGCTTTAGATTGGGTGAAAGCTGAAGAGGTTTGAGATTTTTGAGGACACAAGCCAGAGGGGAAGGAGGAGAGATGGAGGGCGGGAGGTTGCCCACGATAGAACAGGGAAGATTGGATGCGAAAGAAAGAGACAAGGAATAGAACGACCACTAGGATCTTCAGTGGGTATCCCCAGTGGAAGTCCGGAGTTGTACAGCCGTGACCATTATTGGATTTCAGAAACACGGACAAAAGGAGGTTCATTGTCTGAAAGAAAAAGAGAGAGAAAGATGAAGAGAGACTGAGGCAGCTTAACTGATCTGTAGGCAGGCGTGGGGTCCTTTTGCAGGGGCGGGTCTGAAGTCCCAAGGTCGAAGGGAGTCTCTTTGAGGGAGAGCTCAGGGGAATAGGGGTAGGTCTCCAGGAGGAGATCCCCTATCCAGGGCTTTCGGCACCAAATGTTCTGCGCGCATTTGATTGAAGAGGTACCCTGAACAGGCTAAGAGTGAGCAACAAGACTGTTTATTCACTCAGGTGCAAGCCGTTGAGTCCGAAAAGACAGTCAGTGAAGGGTGGTGGGAGTGGAACTGGTTTTATAGGTTTGGGGTAGGTAGTGGAAAGTTACAGTTACGGGCAGTTTTTTCGGGCAGGGGAAAAATGTCACAAGGTTTGTAGCCACAACGTGGGGGGAGGTCACAAGGCACAATATCACAAGGTCTATTGATTAGTTAGGGTAGGGCAGGAACATATCACAACGGTGGAATGTTGCAAGGTCGGTTAATAAGTTAAGGCAGGAACTAGCTGTTTCTTTTTTTTTTTTTTTTTTTTTAGAGACGGAGTCTTGTTCTGTTGCCCAGGCTGGAGTGCAGTGGTGCAATCTCGGCTCACTGCAAGCTCCACCTCCCAGGTTTACGCTATTCTCCTGCCTCAGCCTCCCAAGTAGCTGGGACTACAGGTGCCCGCCACCTCACCCGGCTAGTTTTTTGTATTTTTAGTGGAGATGGGATTTCACCGCGTTAGCCAGGATGGTCTCGATCTCCTTACCTTGTGACCCGCCCGCTTCAGCCTCCCAAAGTGCTGAGATTACAGACATGAGCCACCGCGCCTGGCCGGAACTAGCTGTTTCTTTAGTGGTTCTCCTGTTGCTCCAGTCTTTGTGACCCCAGGAGGCCTGTAGGTGTGGGTCACGGGGGTCACAATGGCTCAACTATGGTGTAGCCCGTTCAGAGGACCTTACAGTTGGTCTTTACAGGCACACACCACTACACTCAGCTAATTTTTAAAAAAAAATTTTGTAGAATGGCGGGCGCCTGTAGTCCCAGTTACTCGGGAGGCTGAGGCAGGAGAATGGCGTAAACCCGGGAGGCGGAGCTTTCAGTGAGCGGAGATCACACCACTGCGCTCCAGCCTGGGTGACAGAGCGAGACTCCATCTCAAAAAAAGAAAAAGAAAAAAAGAAAAAGAAAAAAAAAATTGTAGAGATAGGGTCAGCCATGTTGTCCAGGCTGGTCTCCATCTCCTGGTTTCAAGCGATCCTCCCAGCTCTGCCTGGGATTCCAGGTGTCAGCCCTGGAGTCCAGAGAGTTTTTCATCTGTAAAATGGGCCAGTGATGATCCTTAATTCCTTAGATTGCTGAGAGGATTGAAAAAGACAGTCCAGGTGAATGTGGCTACAGTAAAAATATACACTCCAGGCTGGGCATGGTGGCTCACACCTGTAATCCCAGGGCTTTGGGAGGCCAAGGCTGGAGGATTGCTTGAGCCCAGGAGTTCAAGACCAGACTGGGTAACATAGGGAGACCCTGTCTTTACCAAAAATAGAAAAAAATTAGCTGGGCGTGGTGGTGCCTGCCTGTAGTCCCAGCTGCTTGAGAGGCTGAGGCAGGAGGATCACCTGAGTCCAGGAAGTCAAGGCTGCAGTGAGCTGTGATTGTGCCACCGCACTCCAGCCTGGATGACAGAGGGAGAGTCTGTCTCTAAAAACAAAAAATAAAAATAAAAAATTTTAAAATGGCTCAGATGGTTCTACCTGGCAATTCCCACTGTGTAGATAAGAGACACTGGTACTGGGAGAGAAGGCCCAGACTGGAGGAAAAGAAGGGAAGGACTGCGGAGAGAGGCCCTGAGGACCTTTGCCTTTGGACAATCACCTGTCCCGGACACCTGCAATCCCTGCCCCCAACAGAGGGGGATGTGAACACCTGGTGAAGGGGAACGCCCACCCCCAGCCCAGGCAGAGCTAAACAGAACCAGTGGAGGCCAGGCACGGTGGCTCAGACCTGTAATCCTGACACTTTGGGAGGCCAAGGTGGGCGGATTATGTGAGGTCAGGAGTTCGAGACCAGCCTGGCCAACATGATGAAACCTCGTCTCTACTAAAAGTATAAAAATTAGCCGGTTGTGATGGCCTGCACCTGTAACCTCGGCTACTTGGGGAGCTAAGGCAGGAGAATTGCTTGAACCCAAGATTGTACCACTGCACTCTAACCTGGGCAACAGAGTGAGACTCCATAAAAACAAAAACAAAAAACAGAACCAGTGGAGATTCCTGAGACCCTGGGACAGTAAATAGACACTAATGTTCTAGAACCTTTCAAATTAAGTGTCACTTGCTTCCCTGAGGCAGGCTTTAATTTGATTCTATTGAGTCTTTGCTCCCTAAAACATCAACTTAAGAGCGTTAGCTGAAGCCTCACTGCTCCCCAGCTGCCTGACATGGGGAGCTTAGCCTCTTGGGGCCTCAGTCTCCTCATCTGTGCAATGGGTGCTAATTACTTCAGCATGGCTGCAAGACTACTTCTCCTTCTTCCTCCTCTTCTTTTCTTCTTCTTTTGAGGTAGGGTTGCCCAGGCTGGAGTGCAGTGATGTAATCACAGCTCACTGCAGCCTCGACCTCCTGGGCCCAAGCAATCCTCCCACCTCAGCATCCTGAGTAACTGGGACTACAGATGTGCACTACCACCCCTGGTTTTTTTGTTTGTTTGTTTGTTTGTTCGTTTTGTCGGGACTGAGTCTCACTCTGTTGCCTAGGCTGGTCTCGAACTCCTGGCCTCAAACAATCCTCCCGCCTCAGCTTCCCAAAGTGCTAGGATTACAGGCCTGAGTCACCACTCCTGACCCAGCTGCAAGGTTTCTATTAGGGGACATAGAGCACACTGAACAGTGTCCGGCACCTAGTAGGTGCTCGACAAATGCCCAAGGAATAAATAACTAGATCCTACTCCTCCCTTTGCTTCTAACGTCCTTGGTTTCAGCTCTCTACGAAGGCAGGATCTAGAAAATGGGCACACGTTAAGCCCCAATTCATGGGAGACTATGAGATTTCAGTAGAAAATGCCATTTTTAAGTTTGCAGTAAATGTCCACTCCACACAGGAAGGGATTTTGTCTGCCATGTTCACTGCTGTGTCCCCAGCATGCTAAGTAGGGGCCAGGCTCAAAGTAAATGCTTGATGAATCTTTGGCAGATGAAAGTGTATTATCTGCTGGAAGCAGTGGCTCATGCCTGTAATCTCAGTACTTTGGGAGACTGAGATGGGCGGATCATGAGGTCAGGAGTTTGAGACCAGCCTGGCCAACATGGTGAAACCCCGTCTCTACTAAAAATACAAAAAAAGTAGCCAGATGTGGTGGTGCACGCCTGTAATCCCAGATACTCGGGAGGCTGAGGTGGGAGAATGGCTTGAACCTGAGAGGCAAAGGTTGCAGTGAACCAAGATCGCACCACTGCACTACAGCCTGGGCAACAGAGTGAGATCTGTCTTTAAAAAAATAAAAAGTAGGCCAGGCGCGGTGGCTCAAGCCTGTAATCCCAGCACTTTGGGAGGCCGAGGTGGGCGGATCACGAGGTCAGGAGATCGAGACCATCCTGGCTAACACGATGAAACCCCATCTCTACTAAAAATACAAAAAACTAGCCGGGCGGGGTGGCGGGCGCCTGTAGTTCCTGCTAATCGGGAGGCTGAGGCAGGAGAATGGTGTAAACCCAGGAGGCGGAGCTTGCAGTGAGCTGAGATCTGGCCACTGCACCCCAGCCTGAGTGACAGAGCCAGACTCCGTCTCAAAAAAATAGTAATAATAAAAATAAAATAAAAAATAAAAAAATAAAAAAAAGTATATTATCATTTGATGGGGGGATCAGGGACTCTTCAATAGGCAAAATTTCCCAAGCTGGCTGAATTGACATCACTGTAGGGGGCAGATTCAAACAGACTCATCATTAAGACCAACCGCTTCTTAGAGGCAGACACCACAAAGCCGTCTCAACAATTCTCTTTAATAAGCCCGCTAAACAGTGAGAATTATTTGAGGACAGAGAAAGCCTTTTTCCAGGAATGCTTCAAGCATGATGTGTTTCCTTCCCCGGCTTAATATGTATAATTTGCCTTCTGGAAAAGGAACCCAGAGACTCTGGCATGACTTAGGAAACAATAGACAATGTCACAATTTACCAAGCATAATCGTCTCCTGCAAGGATGAAGAAATCCATGTAGTGCAAGGACTTGAAGCCCAACAAGAGGACTTTGAACCATGGATTTCTTAGCAGGTTTCATTATAGTGGGTCCTGGGGTCAGATGGTCAAATGCCACAGGCTGCTTACTCCCAGAATTGAGAAATAGGGAAAAAAATGCCAGCACCGCCCCTGTTTGTGCAGCTGCCCTGTTTTGCCAATTTCACAAGGGCAGAAGTAGGGAAAATCCATCCAGCCTAGGGTAGAAAGATGTTTGCTCCTCCTCCTGCCAGCCAATCCCAACCAAGCCCTGAGTTCAGTGTCCTGGGTGTGCAAAGCTCCTTGCTGGGGGAGGGGAGGGCTTTAGGATATGACCTTCATGGCCAGGCACAGTGGCTCATACCTGTAATCCCAGCACTTTGGGAAGTCGAGGCGGGAGGATCACTTGAGGTCGGGAGTTCGAGACCAGCCTGGCCAACATGGTGAAACCCCATCTCTATTAAAAATACAAAAATTAGTCGAGCGTGCTGGCTCATGCATGTAATCCCCGCGACTTGGGAGGCTGAGGCATGAGAACTGCTTGAACCCGGGAGGCAGAGGTGGCAGTGAGCTGACATTGTGCCACTGCACTCCAGCCTGGGTGACAGAGCCAGACTCTGTCTCAAAAAAAAAGTAGGGGAGGATAAAGACCCTCATGGCTCATGGAACAGGCAATTCTCTTACCACTGTGGCCCCCAAGGAAGTGGCTGGGGCACTTCTCAAGCCTATCTTGGAGGCTTGGCTGGGAAGAAAGAAACACCCTCAACTCCACCTGGTTGGATTTAGAGGGATTCTTGCCCCACACCTGTTTAGATATTAACTCAGCCACGACCAGTCAAGGCAAACAGGCCAGGGCCAGGGCAGACAAGAGGACAGACAAGAGAACAGATATCTGCAGCCTGTGGCCACCCATCACCCTCCCACCCACCATGGACATGCCCTGGCCCCTCGGGTGGATTCTGCTTCTGTTGGGAAGCCCCCTCACCCACGCTGAGCCTCTGTGAGTCTGGGGAATGGAGGGGGCTCAGCCGGCTTCCTGCACATCTGATGTCTGCGTGATTCCAGCTTGTGACTCCTGTTTGGTGTCACTTTCCCTACTCAAGTCCCTTAATGCCCCTGTGTTTGTCTACTGGCAGCTACATCCTGGTGACCCCCCGAGTCCTGAGGGTTGGCAGTCCGGAGAGGATTCACATTCAGGCCCACTCGGACTCCAGACAGCCCCTCACAAGGACCCTCGAGGTGAACCTCACGGTATGGGACTTCCCCATGAGGAAGGCAGTGTTGGCAAGGAGCCAGCTCATTCTCTCGCCAGGAAACAACTTTATGGACCAGGCACCTGTGACGGTGGGTGACAGGCTGGAATGCGTGACCACAAAGGGGACTCCGGGTCAGCAATAAAGGTAGAAAGGGGCAGACTCTGTGTCTGGAGAGTAGATGCAGGGCCCAAAGTACTTACCGCTCCTCTAACATCCTGTCCATTTAGAAGTCAAAAGTCCCTAAGCCTGGGCTCCAGGAAGCCTCCACTAGCCCATTTGATGCCTCTCCGAGAACTATAAAAGGTGCCTTCTGTTGGTAGCTTGGGAAGTTGATCATGGACTGGATTTCGTCCTTCCTTTGGCTGGGTGCTCTCGTTCAGTGAGCAACCTGCACAACTGCACATGGCAACATAGCTCCCAAAGGCAGAACCAGAAGATCCTCAGTCAATTGCTCCTCCCAGGATCTGTCCCAGGGCTTTACTCCCAGTCAGGGAGACCCCAGCAGAGCCTGAGGAGTATGGATATCTCTCTCTGTCAGGTTCCCGAGAGCCTGGTGTACCCCCCAAAACCAGGACAGCAATATGCCATCATCCGGGCAACTTGGGCACCCTCCTCGGACTCCTCATTCATGGAGAAGATAGTGCTGGTGGCTCCTCATGCTGGCTACATCTTTATCCAGACAGACAAGACCATCTACACCCCTGAGCACTTGGGTACAGCCCTGAGGCACTTGGCTTGGAGCAATCACTGGCTCTCATTCCCAGTCTTTCCCAATGTCTGAGATACTCCCATCCCCTAAAATCTTCTCCACCTCCCAAGATCTCTCTCTCTGCATAAGTGGCCCCCACCACTGCCCAAGATCCAAACTCTCTCTCTCTCTGTCTTTCCCTTCCTCTACCCAACACTCAGAGTCCTCCTTCTCCCCTAGTTCACTACCGGGTGTTCACTGTTAACCACAAGATGGACCCTGTGACCAGGACATTCACTCTGGACATCAAGGTGGTCTTTCCCGATGGGGGGTGGTGGGGGTGGATCCTGGACACTGAGGTTGCACGGCGTGCTGAAGCATGAGCCACAAGGGCCCTCCCAGAGGGCAGTCACCAGCCCCACCCCCTATCCCCACAGAACCCAGAGGGAATCACCGTGATTAGCCAGAGTCTGATAGCCAAGGACGGCTTCTTTTTCAGCTCCTTTCACCTCCCAGAGCTTGTCAGGTGCCCTTGTCATGTCTGGGAGCCCGAGGGGTGGCAAGGGAGGCTGTCATTCTCTGTCTCCATCTCTCTTAACTTTCTGTGCCTCAGTTTGGGGACCTGGACCATCGAAGCCAGCTACCAAAGTACACCCAAGCAGAAGTTCAAGGCTGCCTTTGATGTGAAGGAATATGGTGAGAAGGCTGTGGGTGGGGTGGGCAAGATGAATATGCCAGGGACGGGACTGGAAAGGAAAGGAGGTTTCAAGGGGAGCCTCCACTGTAAACCAGGGCCTGAGCTGGGTGCTAAGTGCTGGGTGCTGGTGTTCCAGCCCTTGGGGCTTGGCAGAGCCACCAAGGAAGGAGCAGGACTGGGAGGAGATGAGGGAGCAGGTACAATACTGAGGGTGCCCATAGCTTTTTTTTTTTTTTCCTCCCAGTCCTCCCATCTTTTGAGGTCCAGCTGGTCCCAAACAAGACTTTCTTCTATCTCAAGGATGAGGTTCTGGGCATTGACATCCACGCTCGGTGAGCCCCCTTCCTCCCAGCCCTGCCAGAAGACCAGGGACACAAAGATTGAATACAGAGAAACAAGTGCCAGGTGCTATGGCTCACGTCTGTAATCCCAGGGCTTTGGGAGACCAAGGCAGGAGGATCACTTGAGGCCAGGAGTTCAAGACCAGCCTGGACAACATGGCAAAACGCCTTCTCTACCAAAAAAAAAAAAAAAATAGCCAGGCTGGCTGGGCGTTGTGGCTCACACCTGTAATCCCAGCACTTTGGGAGGTCGAGGAGGGTGGATCACCTGAGGTCAGGGGTTTGAGACCAGCCTGGCCAACATGGCAAAAACTCATCTCTACTAAAACTACAAAAATAGGCAGGCATGGTGGTGCACACCTGTAGTCTCAGGTACTCAGGGACTACTGAGGTGGGAGAATTGCTTGAACCCAGGAGGCAGAGGTTGCAGTGAGCCGAGATTGAATCACTGAACTCTAGCCTGGGTGACAGAGTGAGACTCTGTCTCAAAAAAAAAAAAAAAAAAAAAATTGGGGCCAGGTGCGGTGGCTCAAGCCTGTAATTCCAGCACTTTGGGAGGCCGAGACGGGCGAATCATGAGGTCAGGAGATCTAGACCATCCTGGCTAACACAGTGAAATCCCGTCTCTACTAAAAATACAAAAATTAGCTGGGCGCGGTGGCGGGCACCTGTAGTCCCAGCTACACAGGAGGCTGAGGCGGGAGAATGGCGTGAACCTGGGAGGCGGAGCTTGCAGTGAGTGGAGATCGTGCCACTGCACTCCAGCCTGGGCAACAGAGCAAGACTCCATCTTAAAAAAAAAAATTATCCAGGAGTGGTGGCACGTGCCTGTTGTCCCAGTTGCTAGGGAGGCTGAGGTGGGAGGATCGCTTGAGCCCAGGAGGTAGAGGTTGCAGTGAGCCAAGACTGTGCCACTGCACTCCAGTGTGGGTGACAGAGTGAGACTCTATCTCAAAGAAAAAAAAAAAGAAAGAAAGAAAGAGAGAAGAAGCAAGCCACTTCTGTAGCACTTAGGGTGGCAGACACACTCTCGTCCTACCCATGAGATATTCTGGTATTCTGGGCTACCTATGTTGTCCTATGAGGTTGTACAGACCATATCTGCCACCTGTGAAGTTGTATAAACCATTTCTTCAAGTCTATGAATTTGTAGAGGCCACCTTGTCTACCCAATGGCGTTGTACTGAGTCTCATCTCATCTGCCACTTCACAGTTTAGACCACCTCTGAAAGTCCATGAGGTGGTACAGGTTACCTTTGCCATTGAGAGATTGTCCAAACCATTTCTGCAGTTCTATGAGATGGCAAATGACACATTTGCTGCCTTGTGTTTTACAGACCATCTGCATTGCTCTATGAGGTTGTGCAGGCAATGCTGTCCACCTGAGATTATACGGGCTATGGGAGCCCCCTCTTGGTGAAGGCCACTTCTGGACATTATATGAATCATTCCTGCTGCTCTAACATGCTACATAGGCCACCTAGTTTCCCTGGTGAGGCTGCACAGGCCACTTCGTAGGTTGTCCAGACTTCTTTGTGGCTTTATATAGTTTTAAGTCCACCTCTACCATCTTGGGAGATTGCACAGACCACATCTACAACCCATCAAGGCTTTATGGGATATATTTGTCACCTCCCAGAGTTGTGTGGGTCATCAATGAAACCATCTAAGTTTCCAAGTTCCACCTCTGCCCCTCCTAATTTTGCACAGTCATCTCTGAAGCAACATGAGGTATGTGGGTGCTTCAGAGACAGTGGAATGGTCCTCCATCCCCCAGGTATATATTTAACAAGCCGGTGGACGGACATGCTCTGGTCATCTTTGGGGTGAAACTGGACTCCCGCCGGATCCCTATCCAAAGCTCCCTGCAGAGGGTGGAGGTGACTGAATCCCAGCTCCCCAGCCTCCAATTCACTCCACTTTCTATCACTCCCCAAGAAACCATATCCTCTTCCTCTCTCTTACCTTAAGAACAGATCTCGGAAGGCCTGGGCCACGTCTCCCTCCGGAAGGATATACTGATGGCTGCATTCCAAGGCCCAGAAAAGGACTTCATTGGAGGATCAATCTTTGTCAATGTCACCGTGTTCTCATCAGGTGCCACCCTCACCCAGGCCCCTGACTGAGGTCAGGACATGGTGTTCTTGCCCAACACAGACACTCCATCCACGTGACCTTGGGCCGCCTCCTAGCCTCAGTTTCCTCAATAGAGAAATGGGAAACACCAGAAAGGGTGGAAGGAGTTGAAATGGTGTTATTGTCTTTCTCTGCCTTCACCAAGATGGGGCTCCCATACTAGTCCTGCCACTCACTTAAGAAATTGAACTCCCTCACATACTCTATGTGCCCGCTATCTCTACAGGGGGTGAGATGGTGCAAGCCGAGACCTCAGGGGTGAAGATTGTCCAGAGCCCATACAACATCAAGTTCACCAGGACACCCCAGTATTTCAAGCCAGGAATGCCCTTCCACTTTCGGGTCAGAGTCTGGACTCACTACACCTAGGGACTCAGGGCCCCATCCCCAAAACAGACCTCCCACAAAGAGACAAAAACCCACACTGGACTCACCTGCATCCAACTCATCTGAAGGTTGAGTCCATCATATTCCCCAGGCTAATCCCAGAGTCCCCTCAAACCTTAACCCAGATACCCCCAAAGCACAGTGATGACTCCAGAATTTCTCTATGGGGACTTAGAGGCCACAGTCAGGCTGGAAGAGGGTGTTTGAGGGTATATCTAGAGGCTGCATTTGCAAAGCAAAGCATGGTCTTTTCACATATATTAATTTGGATGGGCATTAGGAAAATCAGGGATGTCCTTTGGCACAAATCCTACTCCAAGACTCCTGTAGGGTCTCGTGTGTCCTCCTTCCCTCTCCACTCTCAGTCTTCCCACTTACCATCAGCTCCACAACACACAGTGTGACTACATGTGGTTGTACACTGCAAAGCTCTAGGAGGCACCATTCATAAAAACTCTAATATGAATGGTGCCCCTGGTGTTGTTTAGTGCACCATGTATAAAGTTGTACAAAGCAGTCCTATTCAGATCATATTCCAGTCTCACCTCTCACACCAGGCCACCCCAGGCTTTTCCTTCACCTCACCCCAGATTCCACCCCAGGTCTTCGTCTCAAATCCTGATGGATCCCCAGCTGACAGAGTCCTTGTCCAGTCCCAAAACTACAAAGTGTGCACCTCAACTGAGGGACTGGCCACTCTGACCATCAACACAGATGCAAATCTGGACAAGCTCCCCATCGAGGTACCAACTTGACAAGGCAAGGAGGGTGGAGTTGGAGCTGTGTGAGTTGGAAGGGTTGGGGTTTACTTGCCCATCATCCTCTCTAGGTGAAAACTGAGGAATCTCTTCAGCCAGAGGAGCAGGCTTCAGCCAAGATGACAGCTTGGCCTTACTTGACTCAAGATGGGTCAGGAAACTTCCTGCACATCGAAGTAAAGACATTGGGCACAGAGGTTGGCAGCAGCATCCAGCTGAGCCTCAATACAAAGCATCAGGACCCTAAAACCAAGGACCGGATTACTCACTTCACCATCCTGGTAAGGGGCTAGGACCAGCATCTGAGTCAAGGAATTCTTTCCTTGGAAAAACCTTGGCTTGCTGGGTTGGAGAAACTATGAAAAAAGATATGAAGGTGGCAACAATCTTGAGTGGGCTCAGATCAAGAGGCTGAAGAAAAGAGACTATGAGCCTCCATTGTGGGGTGGGACAGCTTCAGGGAAAGACTGACCTTACCCTTCTCATCCTTGATCTCCCTTGTCTCCAAGGTCCTGAGTAAGGGCCAGATTGTGAGTGCCAAACATCAGTCAAAAAGCCAGGGGAGTGTCTACACGTCAGCCATTATTGATGTGACTTCAGCGATGCTGCCCTCCTTCCGCATTCTGGCATTTTATTTACTTCCCAGAGGAGTGAGCCAGGATCCTGAGTTGGTGGCTGATTCCATATGGATTGATGTGAATGACAGATGCATAGGGACGGTAAGCCAAACTCCTTATAGTTGTGAATCATCATCATAAAACCCCAGAAAAGGGCCGTACAAATTTAGGCATTCCCAAACTGGAAGCCAAGGAAGAGGAGAATATGTGGCCTTAGGAGCTCAACACAAGGTGTGGCGATGATGCAAGTAAATAAATACATGGAATCGGGATTAGCCTAGTGGAGTTCTCAAATGCTACACCAGAGCAGTAGGGAACATAAACCTGAAAGTGGAGTTGTGTGGTCTATGATTCCCTTTTTCTGACATCTCTCTTTTTCTTGGCTCAGCTGAAAGTTGGCTTGAAGAATGATAGATTCTTCCCTTCTTTGGAGCCCAACAGCCAAGTGGAACTGAAGGTGACAGGTGATGCAGAAGCCACAGTGGGGCTGGTGGCTGTGGACAAGGCTGTCTATGTTTTGAACAGCAAACACAAGCTCACTCAGAAGAAGGTAAGAGCGTATGGGCTTTGGGCCAAGATGTTGCCAGGATATTCTAGCTGGAACCTCAGCTTCTTCAGCCATACATAAAGAGGACAACATCAACGTAATGATTCAAGGAGATGGGGCAAAGCCTAATGACTGAAAGGTGATAAGAGCTCAAAAAATGGGAGATAGTATGAGAATTATTATTTGAGCCTGCAATTCCAGTATACCATTTTTCCTTTCATGGAGGAGTCATATAGGTCCCAAATCCAGGTTCCTCTCTTAACCTCTAGGTCTGGGATGTGGTGGAGGAACATGACATTGGCTGCACAGCAGGAAGTGGAAAAGACAGATTTGCTGTGTTCAAGGATGCTGGATTGGACCTGAAAATGAGCACAGGAATGGATAGCCTGGCAAGCACAGGTACAGGCTTGGGGGGTTGGGGCAAGAGGAGGGCAGGAATGGGGGCAGTGCTGCCTAGTGGGGTTTAGTGTCAAACAGATATGGGCTGTAATCCACATCCTGTCACTTACCATGGGCCAGTCACATTTCTCTCCGAGTCTTGATTTCTTTGTCCATAAATTACAGATAATAACAGAAGTAACTCACTGTGTGTTGGTTAAGACAGGGTTAGCCATGTGTATCAAAGATACAAATAACAGTAGGTTAAACAGGTAGTTTATTTCTCATTCAGTAACACTACAGAGGTCATCCTGGGACTCAGACTCCTTCTAGGAGTCCATCCATGCCAGGCAGGAAGATGAAGGGAAGTGGAAAGGGGAGGACACTTCTTCCACATCTCATTGGTCAGAATACAGTCACATGGCCCCATCTAAGTGCAAGAGAGGCTGGGAAATGTAGTCTTTATTCTGAGTGATCTATACAATATGGAGGCTTACTTGCCTCCATATTGTATGAGGGATGATAATGGATTTGGAGACAACTAAGAGTGTATTCTCTCAGCTATAAATTGTAATATTAATAACAGTTCTTATTTATTACATGCCAGACCCAGTGCTAAGTACTTGTATATGCATGATCTCATTGACAGAACTCTGGTTATGCCCATTTTACATCACTGGGGAAATTAACACCCAGAGAGGTTAAGTGACTTGTTGAAAATTGCCCAGCTTTTAAGTGACAAGTCTTGAATATAGGAGGCTGTCAGATGAAATGAAGTGATGCATATAAAGTGCTGGACATACAGCAAACACCCTATAAACATCATCAAGGATATTGATAATGATCTTGGTAATTGTTCTATCATCATTCCCTCTGACTCCCAGACTGGCCCTGCCCCCAGGACCCTCCTCCTAGCCGCCATCGCCGCTCCCTGAAGAGGCTGGAGACAAAGAGGAATGCAGGTCAGTGTTAAAGCTGTATGCCTCGCTCCATCTCCCCAACCTACGATATCCATAAGGGCTTAGAACAGGACACCAAAACCACTCTATGCATTTCTAGCAGGGAGGGATCTAATAGGGGGAGTTTGGTGCTTACAAAATCATTAAATGGGCTTTTGGGGTGGAAGTTGGAAGCCTGCTTGCTGGGACTCAAGATCACCCCACTTCAGTCTTGCAATCCATGAAATATCAGGAAACTGCTGCCAATATCTCTCAAAAGGCTGGTACGTTGATAATCAAACACGAAATTGTGCCCACTACAAAAACACACAGACTGGAGACCACCCATCAGCTACCACTGCTGCAAGAAAAATGGTTTCTGCTTCTCTTCTATCTCCCAGATCTCTCATAAGAGCATATTAGTGGCTGCATCTAATCCCATTCAGAACCCTAGCAGCAAGGGAGTCTGGGAAATGTAGTTTTCAAATGTCTAGCCTCTGTGGTACAGGATGGAATGTAGACAAAAGGAGAGATAAGTCTTAAGTGTCATTGGACAATATCTGAATAAACTGCCATCCTGAAGGCTAGAGTGTGGACCACAAGAAGAGGTTTTGAGCCTGGATTCAGAGGAAGATGGGAGGCAGCACTGGGTGGTGTTAGAAGCATGGATTCTGAGGCTGGCATGGTGGCTCATGCCTGTAAACCCAGCACTTTGGGAGGCCAAGGTGGGTGGATCACTTGAGGTCAGGAGTTCGAGACCAGCCTGGCCAACATGGTGAAACCCTGTCTCTACTAAAAGTACAAAAATTAGCTGGATGTAGTGGTGGGCACCTGTAATCCCAGCTACATGGGAGGCTGAGGCATGAGAATCACTTGAACCTGAGAGGCAGAGGTTTGCAGTAAGCCGAAATTGCGCCACTGCACTCCAGCCTGGGTGACAGAGTGCTACTCTGTCTCAAAAAAAAAAAAGCAGTATGGATTCTGATCCCACCTCTGCCACTTGGAAGCCTTGACTCCAGGCAAATGAATTCACCTCTCTGTGGCTCAGCTTCCTTGTCAGAATCTCACCATGTGAATTCAATATGAGGCTTCAGAAAGGGCACAGATAAGGCACTAGGCATAGAATCTACCACGGAGTCATTGCTAAATAGTGGCAAGGTGTGCATAGCATCAAAGTGAATGGTCCTTAGGACCTGCCCAACTCTCCTCTTTCCCTCTGACTCTGGCCCACAGTGAACAAGTTTAAGACAGAGCTGGAGCAAAAGTGCTGTGAGGCTGGGCTCCGGGAAAGCCCAGTGGAGCTGTCCTGTGAGGAGAGGACCTGGCATGTCCGCCATGGTCCAGCCTGTGTGGCTGCTTTCCTGGACTGCTGCCATCTGTCTGAGACCCTGACTCGGGAAGCTCGAGAGGATCAGCTGCGTCTGGGGACAAGTGAGGGGGCCATGGCAGGAGATGCAGGGTGGGGGCTTCATGGAGGGATACAGAGTGACATGGGACAGGTTAAGGGGTGATATGGGCCATGGAGGGTTGGAGAGGAGGATCCCACAAGGAGTCTGGTGGAACATGGAAGAAACATGAAGGAGACTGTACCTCATACCTGCTCCCTCCAGTGGATGAAGAGGAGGACTTCGACGACCTCTTCCTGGATGACATGCCGGCGCGGACCTTGTTCCCTGAGAGTTGGCTCTGGAGGAAGTTCACTCTGCCGAAGAGTGAATCGGGGTAGGACATCAGCCTCCATGCCAGAATCTGGTCCCAGGTCCTTGCAATCATCAGTGGATGCTGGTCAGGGACAATGACCCCAGCAGTGACATTGAGCCTCAGGACAGTCCCACAATGGGGAAAACATCTTAGTGGATTCCCTAAAAGGATGACCCTCTAGCGATGCTGTCACTAATGAGGTGACCTGATGATCCTCAATGGTGACCACAACCACTGCATGGCGACCCCCAACCCAGAAGCTCTGTCCATGCAGCACAAACTCAGTGATGTTTCCTCACTCACAACAGCATCTCCCATTACCCCATCTCTGTGAACGTGCCGGATTCCATCACCACATGGCAGTTTGTGGCGGTCAGCCTCAAGGCTGGACAAGGTGAGTCCCAGCAAGCTCAGTGCTAAGGGAATGGGGGTATGGTGACCTTACCCAGCCCCTCCCCGCACCGAGCCTCTGCTTAAACCCAATGTGCTCTCCTGGCTTTAGGTCTCTGTGTCTCGGACCCCTTTGAGCTGACAGTTATGAAATCGTTCTTTGTGGACCTTAAGTTGCCCTCCTCCGTGGTCAGGAATGAGCAGGTCCAGATCCAAGCTGTGCTGTACAATTTCAGGGATCGCCAGGCCAAGGTGAAGCCCCAAGCCCTCAACTTCCTGCCAAAACCTCTGCTAGGGTGTATTTTAAAAAATTTTTAAATTATTTTATTTCATTTTATTTATTTATGCAAGGGAGAGCTTGTAATGAGCCGAGATCGTGCCACTGTGCTCCAGCCTGGGTGACAGTGTGAGACTCCATCAAAAACAAGAAAGAAAGAAAGAGAGAAAGAGAGAGAAAGAAAGAAAGAAGAGAAAGAAGAGAGGGAGGGACGGAGGGAGGAAGAGAGAGAGAGGGAAAGAAAAAAGAAAAGAAAGAAAGGAAGAAGAAGAAGAGAGAAAGAAACAAAGAAAAAGCAAGAAGAAGAAAGAAAAGAAAGAGAGACAGAGAGAGAGAAAGAAAGGGAGAAAGGGAGAAGGGGGAAGGGGCACAGCGGCTCATGCCTGTAATCCTAGCACTTTGGGAGGCCGAGGTGGGCAGATCACGAGGTCAGGAGATCAAGACCATCCTGGCTAACACGGTGAAACCTCGTCTCTACTAAAAATACAAAAAATTAGCCAGGCGTGGTGGCGAGCGCCTGTAGTCCCAGCTACCCTGGAGGCCAAGGCAGGAGAATGGCATGAACCCAGGATGGGGAGCTTGCAGTGAGCCGAGATCGTGCCACTGCACTCCAGCCTGGGCGACAGTGTGAGACTCCATCAAAAAAAAAAAAAAAAGAAAGAGAGAGAGAGAGAGGGGGGAAGAAAGAAAGAAGAGAAAGAAGAGAGGGAGGGAGAGAGAGAGAGAAAGAAGAAGAAGAAAGAAAGAAGATAGAAAGATGAAAGAAAGAAAGAAAGAAAGAAAGAAAGAAAGAAAGAAAGAAAGAAAGAAAAAAAAAAAGAAAGAAAGAGAGAGAAGGGAGGGGGGAGGGAGGGAAAGAAAGGGGGGGGAGGGAGGGAGGGAAAGAAAGAGAGACGGAAGGAAGGAAGGAAGGAAGGAAGGAAAGAAGGAAGGAAGGAATTTAAACCTCACAACAACCCCATCAGATGGGTACTATTATTGTTCTTGGAAATTGAGACACAGAGCGGTTCAAGGGCTTGCCCGGAGTCACACAGCACATAAATGGCAGATGGGGCTCTGACTCAGGCTGGGTCTGTGGTCCCCATCACTAGGCTTCACTGTCACCTACTCGGGCATCTCAAGATGGGGAGGGGACTGTAACCCTAGGGTCCTGGACTACGTCATACATCGATACCGTCTGCCTTTGCCCATCCTGCCCTAGGTCCGAGTGGAGTTCCCCCACAAGGAGCCACTGTGCAGTGCGTCAAAGCCAGGAGCACCATCCCGCCAGGTGGTGGTCGTGCCCCCCACCTCCTCCAAGATAGTACCCTTTGTGCTTCTCCCTCTGGAGATAGGCAAAGTGGACGTGGAGGTCAAGGCTGTGGGCTACGGGGTCCAGGACCACGTGAAGAAGACACTTTTGGTCCGGGTAATGGGCACCCCCAACTCCCTAGCTGCTGGTGCAGACAGCGGGGCTTCCACCAGGTCCAGGCTGGGCAGGTGGGCCCAGGATCGATAAACAGGGCTCCTAGATGGGAGTGAGATGAGAGAACAGATTTGAAAGTTCAATCAGTTGGCTGGGCGTGGTGGTTCACACCCATAATCTCAGCAGCTTGGGAGGCCAAGGCGGGTGGATCACCTGAGGTCAGGAGTTCGAGACCAGCCTGGCCAACATGGTGAAACTCCATCTCTGCTAAAAATACAAAAATTAGCTGGGCATGGTGGTGCATGCCTGGAGTCCCAGCTACTCGGGAGGCTGAGGCAGGAGAATTGTTTAAATCCAGGAGGTGGAGGATGCAGTGAGCCGAGGTTGTACCACTGCACTACAGCCTGGGCAACAGAGTGAGACTCCGTCTCAAAAAAAAAAAAAAAAAAAAAAAAAAAAAAAAAAGAAGAAGAAGGAAAAAGTTTAGTCAGTGGACTGATGTGAGGGGGTCGGGTCACAAGCCCCCACTTCAGAGTTTTGGAGTCAGGTCTGGGTTCAAATCTTGTCTGTGCTGCGTGACCTTGGGCAACTTGCTTCACTTCTCTGTTCTGAGCCTCCATTTCCTTGCTTGCAGGATGAGGATAATCATCATACCCACGAATAATCAGAGAGCTGGGAAAATGACCCAGAACCAGTGTATGGCCTATCAAAAATACTTTATTAGGCTGGGCTTGGTGGCTCATGCCTGTAATCCCAGTACTTTGGGAGGCCAAGTCAGGAAGATTGCTTGAGCCCACGAGTTCAAGACCAACCTGGGCAATATTGCAAGACCTCTCTAGAAAAAAATTTAAAAATTAGCCTGGTATTAGTAACTGGCACCTGTAGTCCCAGTTACTCAGGAAGCTGAGGGAGGATTGCTTGAGCCCATGAGATTGAGCCTGAAGCTGAGATCATGCCACTGCACTCCAGCCTGAGCAACAGAGCAAGACCCTCTCTCTAAAAAACAAACAAACAAAAGACCTTATTTACTTAACAAACACATGTTTAACGCTTAAGATATAAGTGTTTAAGAATATTAACTCAGTCAGGTGTGGTGGCACCCCCATGTACTCCCAGCTATTTGGGAGGCTGGGGTGAGAGGATCATTTGAGCCTAGAAATTTGAATCCAGCCTGGGCAACCTGAAATTTTTTTTTCTCTGAAAAAAAAAAAAAAACCAACAACAACTAGGTCAGGCATGGTGGCTCATGCCTGTAATCTCAGCACTTTTGGAGGCTGAAGCAGGTGAATCACTTGAGGCCAGGAGTTCAAGACCATGCCGGCCAACTTGGCAAAACGCTATCTCTACTAAAAGTACCAAAATTAGCCTGACGTGGTGGTGTGCAGCTGTAATTCCAGCTACTCAGGAGGCTGAGGCATGAGAATCCCTTGAACTAGGGAGGTGGAGGCTGCAATGAGCTGAGATCATGCCACTGCCTCCAGCCTGGGTGACAGAGTGAGACCCTGTCTCAAAAAAAAAAAAAAAAAAAAATTAACTAATTCAGCCCTCAAAACAACCCTATGAGTGAGGGACTATTATTATCCCCCTTTGACAGATGAGAAAACTGAGGCAGAGAGAGGGTAACTGGCCAGGCGCGGTGGCTCAAGCCTGTAATCCCAGCACTTTGGGAGGCCGAGACCGGCGGATCACGAGGTCAGGAGATCGAGACCATCCTGGCTAACATGGTGAAACCCCGTCTCTACTAAAAAATACAAAAACCTAGCCAGGCGAGGTGGCGGGCGCCTGTAGTCTCAGCTGCTCGGGAGGCTGAGTCAGGAGAATGGTGTAAACTCCAGAGGCGGAGTTTGCAGTGAGCTGAGATCCGGCCACTGCACTCCAACCTGGGCAACAGAGCGAGACTCCATCTCAAAAAAAAAAAAAAAAGTTGGGGGGAGGGTAACTAATGTTTCCCAAGGACACACAGCTAGGAAGCAGAAGAGTTGGGATTCGAACCCAGAAATTTGGGCTCCAGAGTCTGTGCTTATCACAGCCAAGGAATGCCTCCTCTCACCATCATTGCAATTGTCATTTTTACTGTGGTTGCTGTTTTTGCTTTTGACTTATATCCTCAACTCATCCCTCAGGCAGGGGGTCAGATCCAGCAAACGTCCTACAGCATCGTCTTGGAACCCCAAGGTTTGTGAAATCTGCAGAGGGTATGTGAGATCCTGGGGCTGCGCTAGGGAGGAGGAAGGAGTTGGCATGAGCGGGTGTGCCCAGGTGGGGATTCCGAGCCCCAGCCCCAGGCTCTGTGCACCCTGACTTCCCCAGCCCCAGAGCCCACTTGTCACGGAAGGTTGTGTTTCTTCAGGTCAGACCCAGACAAAACTGGTGCCAAGACAGGAGCTCTTGAACATGGTACCCGACACGGAGGCGGAAGTGTTTATCAGTGTTCAAGGTGCTGGGGGACACAGGAACGTGGGGAGGGCTGACACTGGCTCCTCTAAGGTCCACGAGGCACCAGGGCAGGAGGAGCTGGGGGTGGCCATGTGGGGGGATCAGTGAACCATGGTGGCTTAGGCATAGGCCACTCCCAGGGTGACCCAACTCACCCACCCAACAGGTGACATCCTTGGTGAGACAATTGTGGGCAGCCTGACACCCAATGAGATTTGGCATCTGCTGCGGGTCCCCACGGGCTGCCCTGAGCAGACGCTGAGCTCCCTGACACCTGTCATCATCCTGTCCCGCTATTTGGATGCCACCGGCCAGTGGGGCAAGGTCGGGGTGGAGCACAGGGACCAGGTGATGAAGAATATTGTCAGCGGTGAGAGCGGGGACCCTCCTGGGGCCTCCATGAGGGTGCCTGGGGATCTCCCAGAGGGTGGCTGGGGCACCCCCAAGATTGGGGAAATCTTCATGGGACCCCCCCAGCCCCCGCCTCAGGCATTAACACCCAAACTGTGACTCCTTCCCCACACTGCAACCTGGTACTAATTCCCCAAGGTCATCCCCCAGCTGTGACACACCCATGGGAATTCTTCACCTGACCCCTTCCCCAGGCTTCAATCTTTTTTTGTGTGTGTGTGATGTAGTCTCGCTCTGTCACCAAGGCTGGAGTGCACTGGCATGATCTTGGCTCACTGCAACCTCCACCTGCCAGGTTCGAGCCATTCTCCTGCCTCAGCCTCCTGAGTAACTGGGATTACAGGTGCCCGCTACCATGCCTGGCTAATTTTTGTATTTGTATTTATTTATTTATTTAGAGACGGCATCTCACTCTGTCGCCCAGGCTGGAGTGCAGTGGCGCAATTTCAGGTGCCCCCCACCACACTCGGCTAATTTTTGGATATTTAGTGCAGATGGGGTTTGGCCATGTTGGTCAGGCTGCTCTCGAACTCCTGACCTCAGGTGATCCACCTGCCTTGGCTTCCCTAAGTGCTGGGATTACAGGTGTGAGCCACCACGCCAGACCTCTAGGCTTCAATCTTATGTCAGACACCCTGATTTCTCCCAACAAGCCATGCTGCGAGATGATGTTGTACTCAGGCCCTGCCCCAGGTTGCACCCCCTCAGTGCCACTCCCAGGGAACCCCAGGGAACACCCAAGCAGCAAACCCCAGAATAACCCCAGCAGTGGCTTCTTAGTTGCACCTGTATGCTGATACTTCCCCGGGTTACAACCAAACACCCCAGGGAGTAACCAGAAATTAACACCCCTAGTAACACCCACAGAACTCTGAGTTAATTGGTCCCAGGTTTCCCTCAGACTCCAACTTTCCCTCCAGGTTTTCTCAAACAGTAATCCCACAGGTAACATCCAGATACTGTCACCCCAGTGCTCCAAGCAAACAGTAAACCTCCAGGGGAACTTCAAGTAATGAGTAGGGAGGCTCGGAATACACCTGAAAGGCTGGGTGTGGTGGCTCATGCCTGTAATCCCAGCACTTTAGGAGGCCAAGGTAGGAAGATCACTTGAGCCCAGGAGTTTGAGACCAGCCTGGGCAACATAGTGAGACCCTCATCTGTACAAAAAAATGTTTAAATTTTTTGGCTAGTTATGGTGGTTCCTGTCTGCAGTCTCAGCTATTCAGAAGCCTGAGTGGGAGGATTGCTTGAGCCCCAGAGTTTGAGACTAGCCTGGGCAACATAGTGAGACCTCATCTTTAAAAAAAATTAGACTGGTGTAGTGGTGCATGCCTGTAATCCCAGCTACTACTTGGGAGGCTGAGGTGGGAGGATAACTTGACCAGGGAAGGTTGAGGCTGAAGTGAGCTATGATTGTACCACTGTACTCCAGCCTGGGTGACAGAGTGAGACCCAGTCTCAAAAAAATAAAAATAAATAAAAAAAGGGTCGGGCACACACCTGTAATCTCAGCACTTTGGGAGACCGAGGCAGGTGGATCACCTGAGGTCAGGGGTTCAAGACCACCCTGGCCAACATGGTGAAACCCCATCTCTACTAAAAATACAAAAATTAGCCAGGTGTGGTGGTGCGCCCCTGTAGTCCCAGCTACTCAGGAGGCTGAGGCAGGAGAATCACTTCAACCCAGGAGGCAGAAGTTGCAGTGAGCTGAGATCGCTCCACTGTACTACAGCCTGGGTGACAGAGCAAGACTCTGTCTCAAAAAAATAAAAAGAATACACCAAAGAAGTACTCATCTAAGATCACGCCCCAAAGTAACCTCCCCGGGTGACACAGACGCACTGACACTCCAGGTTTACACCCAAGAAATAACCCCCAAGAAAACTCCTAGGCTGGCCGGGCGCAGTGGCTCACGCCTGTAATCCCAGCACTCTGGGAGGCCGATGTGAGTGGATCACCTGAGGTGAGGAGTTCCAGACCAGCCTGGCCAACATGGTGAAACCCCGTCTCTACCAAAAATACAAAAATTAGCTGGGCGTGGTGACTCATGCCTGTAATCCCAGCTACTTGGGAGGCTGAAGCTGGAAAATCGCTTGAACCCGGGAGGCGGAGGTTGCAGTGAGCCGAGATCGCACCACTGCACTCCAGCCTGGGCAATAGAGAAAGACTGTCTCAAAAAAAAAAAAAAAAAAAAAAAAAAAAAAAAAAAGGCCGGGCGGGGTGGCTCAAGCCTGTAATCCCAGCACTTTGGAGGCCGAGACGGGCGGATCACGAGGTCAGGAGATCGAGACCATCCTGGTTAACATGGTGAAACCCTGTCTCTACTAAAAAATACAAAAAAACTAGCCGGGTGAGGTGGCGGGCGCCTGTAGTCCCAGCTACTCGGGAGGCTGAGGGAGGAGAATGGTGTAAACCCGGGAGGCAGAGCTTGCAGTGAGCTGAGATCCGGCCACTGCATTCCAGCCTGGGAGACACAGCAAGATTCCGTCTCAAAAAAAAAAAAAAAAAAAAAAAACTCCCACGTAGCACCCCTCAAGTTGCCCCATCTCCCAGGTTATATGTGGACAACAATACCTATGATTTCTTCCAGCAGCAACTCCAAGGGTAGCATGCCCTGCCCCAGAGTCCCCGAGGTGAAGGTTTCCTGGGTTACACTCAGAGACAACTGCATCCTGGGTCCCTCAAAGTCATTCCTGAGCCCTGCTCCTCACTTACACCTGGGCCCTAAACACCCCTCCAAAGCACACCTGGACAACAGGTCTCCCCCTCTAGATTACCTCTATGCGTGACACCCCCACGTCACCTCCAGTCCCTGCCCGCCAGGTTATTCCTGATAACACTGACTGTCCCTCAAAGCCCTGCTCTGTTGCCTCAGGCTACACTCGGATGCTGACCCACCGGAGTTCAGACGGCACCTACCACACCTCCAAGGGGAGCCCAGGAAGCACCTGGTGAGGGTGACCGTGTCTCTCTTGTCGCTGCCACCCTGGAAGCCCACGGGGCCAGTCTGGGGTCTGATGACTCAGGAACATCCACGCTGTAGAGTCTTGGGGTCTTGGGGTGTCCAGCACATGGGTCTGGGGAATTCTACACTGGCAGGCCTGGGCAGTGGCAAATGGCAGGGGTCCACCTGGAATGGTGTGGACCATGGCGTAGACTCCCCCTATCCCAGAGCCCCCTTGGCTGCCGTTCGCACGTGTCACCTTCACCCTCTCCTGACAGGCTCACAAGCTATGTGTTCCGTGTCTTTGCCCTGGCCTACTCTACAATGACGACCCAAGTGCTTAGCCTGTCCTCTCTCTGTGACATGGCCAACTGGATCATCACCAACAGGCAGGCGGAGGACGGGCACTTCCTGGAGGAGGGTCCCGTGGTCATGACATCCATGCAGGTGATCACACCCCTCCCTGCCTGGGCCATTCAAACAAATCCCAGGGACTCTGTGCGCTAAGACGGAGATTTCAGGCTCCCAATCTGTTCTTGGGCAGAATGAGAACAGGAAAGAGTTGAGGCTCGGTGCCAAGGATCACATCCCCGCCCAGGTCTAAACCACCTCACACTCTTCCTAATCCCCACATCAAGCAGTGGCCTGTCCTGTCCCTCCTCCCTCGGGCACTGAGTCCTCCCCAGCTTGCACACCCATCCCCACCGCGTCCCCTCACACCAGCATCCAGAAATGTCTTTCAAACACAGCCTGGCAGGTCTCTCCCCTGCTCAAACACCTGCTGTAGCTCACAGCTATCTTTGTCTGTATCACCTCCTAGGCCTCGCCCCACCACTCCTTTCTCAGTATTCACACTTAACCACTCATAGGCTCCTCCAACTCTCCTCCAAAAAGTACTTTTGCTGCCTTCTCTGCAAGCAACAGGCCAAATTATTATTATTACTATTTATTATTTTGAGATAGAGTTCCACTCTGTCACTCAGACTGGAAGGTAGTGGCATGATCTCAACTCACTGCAACCTCCATCTCCTGGGTTCAAGCGAGTCTTATGCCTCAGCCACCCGAGTAGCTGAGATTACAGGCATGTGCCACCAGATCCAGCTAATTTTTACATTTTTGTTTTAGTAGATGGGGTTTCACCATGTGGTCCAGGCTGGTCTCAAACTCCTGCCCTTAAGTGGTCTGCCTGCCTCGGCCTCCCAAAGTTCTGGGATTACAGACATGAGCCTCGGCTGGAGTGCAGTAGCACGACCTCAGCTCACTGCCTCTGCCTCCTGGGTTCAGCCTATTGTTACTATTTTTAGAGATAAGATCTTGCTCTGTTGCCCAGGCTGGAATGCAGTGGCACAATCATAGCTCATTACAGCCTCAAACTTCTGAGCTCAAGAGTCCCCTTGCCTTAGCCTCCTCAGTGGCTGGGACTAAAGGTGCAAACCACCATTCCTGGCTAATTTTTTTTTTTTTTGAGATGGAGTCTCGCTCTGTTGCCCAGGCTGGAGTGCAGTGGTGAAATCTCGGCTCACTGCAACCTCTGCCTCCTGGGTTCAAGCGATTCTCCTGCCTCAGCTTCCTGAGTAGCTGGGAGTACAGGCATGCACCACCACACTTGGCTAATTTTTGTAGTTTTAGTAGAGACAGGGTTTTGCCATGTTGCCCAGGCTAGTCTCGAACTCCTGACCTCAGGTGATCTGCCCGCCTTTGCCTCCCAAAGTACTGGGATTACAGGCATGAGCCATCACCTCTGACCCTGACATGACCTTCTTTTTTTTTTTTTTTTTTTGAGACGGAGTCTTGCTCTGTCACCCAGGCTGGAGTGCAGTAGCACGATCTCAGCTCACTGCAACCTCCGCCTCCTGGGTTCAAGCGATTCTTCTGCCTCAGCCTCCCGAGTAACTGGGACTGCAGGCAAGTCCACTATATCAGGCTACTTTTTGTATTTTTAGTAGAGACAGGGTTTCACCGTATTGGCCAGGCTGGTCTCGAACTCCTGACCTCATGATGTGCCCACCTCAGCCTCCCAACATGCTGGGATTACAGGCGTGAACCACCGCACCCAGAATTTTTTTTTTTTTTTTGAAACAGAGTCTTGCTCTGTCACCCAGGCTAGAGTGAAGTGGTGAGATCTCGGCTCACTGCAACATCTGCCTCCCAGGTTCGAGCGATTTTCCTGCCTCAGCCTCCTGAGTAGCTGGGACTACAGGCTCATGTCACCACGCCTGGTTAATTTTTTGTATTTTTTAGTAGCTATGGGGTTTCACCATGTTAGTCAGGATGGTCTCCATCTCCTGACCTCATGATCCACCCGTGTCGGCCTCCCAAAGTGCTGGGATTACAGATGTGAGCCACTGCGCCTGGCCGACATGACCTTCTTATAAGGGCACCTTCTTATTAGACTTAGGGTCCACCCTAATCCAGTATGATCTCTTCTTAATTTTAATTACATCCTCAAAGACCCAGTTTCCAAATAAGATCACATCTTAGGCCAAGCATGAGCCACCATGCCCGGCCGATAGCTTTTGACTGTAGGGCAGACCCCAGGGAGGCAAACCTCTCCTTTCTGTCTTCATCCCACCTCCACCATCATCCCGCCCAGAGCTGGGTACCTGGAAACTTCTCAGGGTCAGACAGGAGAGGCTGAGGAAGGCATCTCCAAGACGCTGAGGGGATCACAGGTTGTACTCTGCGTCCACAGGGTGGCTACCAAGGCTCCGAGGAGGATGTATCCCTCACAGCTCTCGTCCTGATAGCCCTGAATGAGGGAAAGGAGTTGTGCAACCAGAAGGTAGGACCCCAGAGAGGAGGGCAGGATCTGTATGGTCCTCTAGCCCCAGCATCTGGAAAGCTCCCACACCCTTATGTCCCCCTGGGTCCCTCTAACTTCTAGACTTCTTTCCTCTGATCATCTCCCTCTGGCCTCCTCCCTCTGACCCTCTAGAATTTGATGGCCAGCATCGAGAGAGCCCGTGGCTTCCTGGAGAGAAAACTTCCTGACATTCAGACAACCTTTGCCATAGCCATAACCTCCTACGCACTGGCCCTTGCCAACAGCTCCCAAGCCAACGACCGCCTGGACAGCTTTGCTAGCCCTAGTGAGTGTGGGATGCTTCTTAGTCAACCTCAGTCATGGAGTGCGGAGGGGGTGATCTCAAATCCAGCAATGTGTCATTCATCACTTAGTGTTTCCTGAGCATCCACTGTGTATCAACTCTTGAGCTCAGACCCTGTGAGGCCAATGTAAACAACACTGAGAAGTTCTCTGCCCTCAAGGGTCCCACCATCCTTGGAAGAGACAATCGGAAGACAGACAGGTCACCATATAATTCCAAACTGAGGCTGGGGGCAGTGGCTCATGCCTGTAATCCCAGTCCTTTGGGAGGCCAAGGAGGGCGGATCACCTGAGGTCAGGAGTTTGAGACCAGCCTGGCCAACATGGTGAAACACTGTCTCTACTAAACACAAAAAAATTAGCCGGTCGTGGTGGTACATGCCTGTAGTCCCAGTTACTCAGGAGGCTGAAGCAGGAAAATCACTTGAACCCGCGAGGTGGAGCTTGCAGTGAGCCAAGATAGCGCCACTGCACTCCAGCCTGGGCAACAGAGTGGGACTCCATCTCAAAAAAAAAAAAAAAAAAAAAAAAATCCCATGGTTGATCCTATCTCATCCCCAAGGGTCCATATCCCATCTTCTCCATTCCACAAATTAAAGAAAGTGGAACTAGGAAAATTTGCTTGCAGTGGGACTAGAGGGACCTGAAGGATTTTTTTTTTTTTTTTTTTTTTGAGACAGAGTCTTGCTCTTGTCGCCCAGGCTGGAGTGCAATGGCATGATCTCAGCTCACTGCAACCTCCACCTCCCAGGTTCAAGTGATTCTCCTGCCTCAGCCTCCTGAGTAGCTGGGATTACAGGCACCCACCAGCACACCTGGCTAATTTTTTTGTAATTTTAGTAGAAACGGGGTTTCACCATGTTGGCCAGGCTGGTCTCGAACTCCTCAGGTGATCCACCTGGCTTGGCCTCCCAAAGTTCTGAGATTACAGGTGTAAGCCACCGCGCCCAGCCAGGAACTTTTTCTGAAACTCAATTTCCCCATCAGAAAATAGATCCCATCTCCTAAAGTCGTTCTGAAAATTGGATGTCCGTGTTTCCTCAGCAAAGAGCTTCACATAAACTAGGTGATCAAGACTGGGCACGGTGGCTCACGCCTGTAATCCCAACACTTTGGGAGGTCGAGGTGAGAGAATGGCTTGAGCCAGGAGTTCAAAACCAACCTTGACAACATAATGAGAACTCCCCCACCCCCACTCCTCCATCTCTACAAAAATAAAAATAAAATAGGTGATCAGTAAGATGGCAGATGAGAAAACTGGGCCGGATGACACAAGGAGAGGGCAGGTTACGGTGGGTGGGCCCAGCTCTGAGTGACAAGGTGGGCGTCCCTGTTTCTAGACAAAACCCACTGGCCGGTGGATGAGCAGAACCTCGGCTCCCTGTACACCATTGAGGCCACAGCCTACGCGCTCATGCAGAAGCTGGAGATGCGCCGGTACAATGAGACGCACGCCATCGCCAAGTGGCTACTAGAGAAGCGGGAGCTGGGAGGAGGCTTCGGGTCCACCCAGGTGACGGGGACCCCCGGGAGGTGAGGGCCAGAGTCGCTAGCCGAGATGCTGACGCGACTAGTCCAACGCTGGAGTGTGGGTGGCTGTCCGTGGTGCTGACACGGCGGCCGATGGTTTCTCGAGTGCTGTCTGTGGTGCTGATCCACGTTCCCCCATCTCCCCGCCCCATTCCAACACTCAGACCACGGTGGTGGCCCTTGAAGCTCTGACCCGCTTCCGCGAAGATGTCCCCTTCCAGGGCGTCCAGGATCTCCACGTCCAGGTCAGCGCCCCCAAGAAAGCCCTGAATGTGAATTGGCACATTGATCACAACAATGCCTACCAACAGCGGTCAGCAAAGGTATGTCACTAAGGGGCAGGCCAGAGTACACGCAGAAAAGACATTGGAGATGAGGCGAAGTGTCATGTCCCTGCTGATCTCCCTCCTCAAGACACACCCCAAGATATCATAAGCGATGGAAATGTGGCTATACTGTCAATGTATTGATTCTTCTATTCCATCAACATTTCCTGAGCATCTACTATGCATCAAAGACTCTCCTAGGCATTGAGGTTATTTTATGAAAGATCCATGGTCCCTGCTCTTATGGTATCTAGAAGATTCCATAAGATCTAGAAGAAAATGGGCCAGGTGACGTGACTCACGCCTATAATCCCAGGACTTTGGGAGGCTGAGGTGTGTGGATCACCTGAGGTCAGGCGTTCGAGACCAGCCTGGTCAATGTAGTGAAACCCCATCTCTACTAAAAATACAAAAATTGGCCGGGTGCGGTGGCTCACGCCTGTAATCCCAGCACTTTGGGAGGCCGAGGCGGGCGGATCACAAGGTCAGGACATCGAGACCACGGTGAAACCCCGTCTCTACTAAAAATACAAAAAATTAGCTGGGCGCGGCTGTGGGCGCCTGTAGTCCCAGCTACTCGGGAGGCTGAGGCAGGAGAATGGCGTGAACCCGGGAGGCGGAGCTTGCAGTGAGCCGAGATCGCGCCACTGCACTCCAGCCTGGGCGACAGAGCGAGACTCCGTCTCAAAAAAAAAAAAAAATAATAATAATAATAATAATAATACAAAAATTACCTGGGCATGGTGGTGCGTGCCTGTAATCTCAGCTACTCAGGAGGCTGAGGCAGAAGAATCACTTGAACCCAGGAAGAGGAGGAAGTTGTAGTTACCTGGGATTGCACCTGGGTGGCAGAGTGAGACTCCATCTCAAAATAAAAATAAAAATAAATATAAAAAAAAAAATAAATAAATGAAAAGAAATGACACCCTGGGCAACATCGCGAGACTCCATCTCTACTAAAAAAGAAAAGAAGGAAAACAACTCATCTAAGGTCATGCATTGTTTAGTGGATGTCCCTGGATAAATAGTTGTCAAGATGAAGAAAGCAGAGGGAGGGGAAGAGTGTTTCTTTTTGTTGTTGTTGTGGTGGTGGTGGTGGTGGTGGTTGTTGTTGTTGTTGAGACAGAGTCTGACTCAGTCACCCAGGCTGGAGTGCAGTGGCATGATCTTGCCTCACTGAAACCTCCATCTCCTGTGTCAGCCTCCCCAGTAGCTGAGATTACAGGCATGCACCATTCAGCTAATTTTTGTAGTTTTAGTAGAAATGGGGTTTCACCATGGTGGCCAGGCTGGTCTCGAAATCCTAGCCTCATGTGACCCACCTGCCTCGGCCTCCCAAATTGCTGGGATTACAGGCATGAGCCACCATGCCCAGCTAAGGAAGAGTGTTTCTGACATAGGGAACAGCACAGAGTGGAGACCCGGAGCCACTCAGGCACAGGAATGGTCAGAAGGGAGAACAGCAAATAAAGCAGGCTATTAGGAGGCTTGAAGGCTGGCAGAGCTCAGCAGAGGGCTGGGAGGCCATGGCAAGAATTAGGACTTGGTCCTATAGGCGATAAGATTTGATCTTATAGGCAATGAGATTTGAGTGACTGGCTGTGATTTTTTTCTTTCTTTTTCTTTTTTTTTCCTTTTTTTTCCTTTTTTTTTTTTTTGTTATTTTTTGTTTTTTAGAGACAGGGTCCTACTCTGTTGCCCAGGCTGGAGTGCAGTGACACAAACATAGTTCATGGCAGACTCTAATTCTTGGGCTCGAGCAATCCTCCTGCTTTAGCCTCCTGAGTAGCTGGGACTAGACATGCACCAGCATGTCCGACTTAATTTTCAATTTTTTTTGTAGAGATGGGGTCTAGCTAAATTGCCCAGGTATGTTTTGAACTCCTGGGCTCAAGCAATCCTCCCCCTTTGGCTTCCCACATTGCTGGGATTACAGGCATACCATTATGTTTGGTTTGGCTGTGAATTTTTAAAATTTTATTCTGGCTGATGCAAGAAGACTATAATGAGGAAAACAAGAGTAGCTGCAGATGAAGATAGAGATTAGATTGGTGGTTGCCAGAGGATAGGAAGTGCACGAAGAAAGGGAGGGATGAAAAGAAGTTGATTAATGGGTACAAGCATATGGTTCGATAGAAGAAATAAGACTGAGTGTTTGATAGATTCGTAGGGTGACTATAGTTTACAATAATCTATTGCATATTTCAAAATAGCTGGAAGAAAAGAATTAGCATAATTTTAGCATAAAGAAAAGACAAATATTTAAGGTGATGGATATCTGAGGTACACTGATCTGATCTTTACATATTATATGAATGCATTACATTATCACAGGTGCCTTGAAACTATGTACATCCATTAGGCATCAATTCTTTTTTTTTTTGAGATGGAGTCTCACTCTGTCGCCCAGGCTGGAGTGCAGTGGCACAGTCTCAGTTCACTGCAGGCTCTGCTTCCTGGGGTCAAGTGATTCTCCTGCCTCAGCCTCCTGAGTAGCTGGGATTACAGGCACCTGCCACCACCCTCAGCTAATTTTTGTATTTTTTAGTAGAGACGGGGTTTCACCATGTTGGCCAGGCTGCTCGAACTCCTGACCTCAGAGGGTCCACCTGCCTTGGCCTCCCAAAGTGCTGGGATTACAGGCATGAGCCACTGCACCCAGCCCATTATGCATCAATTTTAAAAGACAAAGAAAAATAAAGAGAGGTGCAGAGGTGCCAGTGAGAAGGGGCTCATGGGAGCTCCGCACACAGAGAAACTTGGAAATGCTCCAAAGAGAACAGATTCCAGGGATGCACATTAGGACACAGCCTGAGCTGAGGCGTGCAGATAATCTGAGGTCAGGAGTTCAAGACCAGCCTGGCCAACATGGTGAAACCCCATCTCTACTAAAAATATCAAAATTAGCTGGGCGTGACAGCACAAGCCTGTAGTCCCAACTACTCGGAAGGCTGAGGAAGGAGAATCACTTGAACCCAGGAGGCAGAAGTTGCAGTGAGCCGGGATCATGCCACTGCACTCCAGCCTGGGCAACAAAGCGAGTCTCTGTCTCAAAAAAAAAAAAAAAAGACACAGCCTTAGGCTGGACTTGGTGGCTCATGCTTGTAATCCTAACACTCTGGGAGTCCAAGGTGGGTGGATCACTTGAGGTCAGGAGTTCAAGAACAGCATGGGCAACATAGTTAGATCCTGTTACTACAAAAAAATACAACAACAAAAAAAAATTAGCTAGGTGTGGTGGCACACACCTGTAGTCCCAGCTACTTTGGAGGCTAAGACAGGAGGATCGCTTGAGACCAGGAGGCAGAGGCGCACCAAGGTGAGCCGAGGTCGCACCACTGCACTCCAGCCTGGGCTACAGACTGAGACCTGGTCTCAAAAACAAACAAACAAAACAGGCTGAATGAGCAGTTCCGGTTGATCTATGATAGTGTAGACACCACAAATGATCTCTGAAGAGGGAAAAGCAAAACCATCTGCGTGGAGAGAGATGGAAAATGAATCACCAGGTCCCAGGTTAGGGAATAACCGAGGCCCTGGTGAGTGTTTAGGCCTCACATCCCCCTACACTTGACCCTCACTTTGCTGCTTCCTCCATCCTTAAATCTTCCCCTTTGTTCTCTTCAGTTCCTTGCCCAGGATGACCTAGAGATCAAAGCCAGTGGCAACGGGAGAGGCACCATCTCGGTAGGTTTTGTATTCAACTGTATTAGTCTGTTCAGGCTGCCACAGCAAAATAGACTGGGTGGCTTATAAACAACAGAAATTGGCCCAGCATGGTGGCTCATGCCTGCAATCCCAGCATTTTGAGAGGCCCAGGCGGGAGAATCGCTTGAGTCCAGGAGTTCAAGATGCACTGGGGCAACAGAGTGAGACTCTGTCTCTACAAAAAATTGAAAAATTAGCTGGGCATGGTGGCACATGTCTATAGTCACAGCTACTCAAGAGGCTGAGGTGGAAGGATTGCTTGAGCCCAGGAGGTAGAAGTTGCAGTGAGTCGTGATCAAGACTTTGCATTCTCCCCTAAATGATAAAGTAAGATTCTATCTCAAAGGAAGGAAGGAAGAGAAAGAGAAGAAAGAAAAGAAAGGAAAGCAAGAAAGCAAGAAAGAAAGGCCAGGTGCAGTGGCTTGACTGGGCACGGTGGCTCAGGCCTGTAATCCCAGCAGTTTGCGAGGCCGAAGGGGGAGGATCACCTAAGGTCAGGAGTTCGAGACTAGCCTGGTTAATGTGGTGAAACCCCGTCTCTATAAAAATTACGAAAGTTAACCAAGCATGGTAGCGGGCACCTGTAGTACCAGCTACTCAGGAGGCTGAGGCAGGAGAATCAGTTGAACACAGGAGGCAGAGTTTGCAGTGAGCCAAGATTGAGCCATTGCACCCCAGTCTGGGTGACTAGAGCAAAACTCTGTCAGAAAGAAAGAAGAAAGCAAAGAAAGAAAGAGAGAGAGAGAGGAGGAGGAGGAGGAGAAGAAGAAGGAGAAGAAGAAGAAGGAGGAGGAGGAGGAGGAGGAAGGAAGGAAGGAAGGAAGAAAGAAAGGAAGGAAGGAAGAAAGAAAGAAAGACACACAAGTAAGAAAGGGGAAAGAAAGAGAGAGAGGGAGAAATTTATTGCTCACAGTTCTGGAAGATGGGAAGTCCAATATCAAGGCAAGGTACACTCTCTGTTTCAGGCTGGGCATGGTGGCTCACGCCTGTAATCCCATCACTTTGGGAGGCCAAGGCAGGCAGATCACAAGATCAGGAGATCGAGACCATCCTGGCTAACAGGGTGAAACCCCGTCTCTACTAAAAATACAAAAAATTAGCCGGGCATGGCGGTGTGCACCTATATTTCCAGCTGCTGGGGAGACTGAGGCAGGAGAATGGTGTGAACCTGGGAGGCAGAGCTTGCACTAAGCCGAGATCGCGCCACTGCACTCCAGCCTGGGCGACACAGCAAGACTCTGTGTCAAAAATAAATAAATAAATAATATATTATACTAATATTATTATTTATTTATAACCTAAATAAATAAATATAGGCCAGTCGGTGTGATTCATGCCTGCAATCCCAGCACTTTGGGAGGCTGAGTGCTGGGATGACGTCCATGATTTTTTTTTTTTTTTTTTTGAGATGGAGTCTCGCTCTGTCACCCAGGCTGGAGTGCAGTGGCGCGATCTCAGCTCACTGCAATCTCTGCCTCCCAGGTTCAAGTGATTCTCTTGCCTCAGCTTCCTGAGTAGCTGGGACTACAGGTGCACAACAGCATGCCCGGCAAATTTTTTGTATTTTTAGTAGAGACAGGGTTTCACCATATTGGCCAGGCTGGTCTCAAACTCCTGACCTGAAGTAATCTGACCGCCTTGACCTCCCAAAGGTGCTGGGATTCCAGGCATGAGCCACCATGCCCGGCCTGACATCCATGACCTCTTCCAGCCCCATGACATATGCCTGGGGCTGTAATCCAGCAGTTTGGGACATATGACAGCTCTTTTGTTCACCAAAAGGTCGTCTGGTGTCGTGTTCCAGACAGTGGAGTCATGGCTAAATCTCTGCCTTTGTTATGTGACCCTGAGCAAGTCATACCTTTCTTCAAGCCTCTGTGAATGGGTTAAAATTAAATAAAATTCAAAATTCAGTTTCTCCATCGAACTAGCCACGTTTCAAGTGTTCGGTAGCCACGTGTGGCTAATGGCTGCCACATTGGACAATGCCAAATGGGACCATTTCCGTTACTGCATAAAGTTCTTTTACACAGAGCTGGTCTAGACTCCAGACACGGCTCTGGCCACTGCACCTAGGAATTGATGGGGTCAGGGAGGGGGGCGATCTTGCAGTAAATTCCCCACATGGCCAGAGACTTGGAAAGTCAAGGATTGGGGTACAGAGGAAAGGCAGTGCATGGGGAAGGGCTCTGACAGCCCCCTTTCCTGGCCTGGCAGATCCTGACCATGTACCACAAGTCCCCAGAGTCCTGGGAGGACAACTGCAACCTGTACCACCTGAATGTGACTCTCCACAGTGTCTTAGAAGGTAAGCCTGGTGTGGCTACAGGAGGAGCAAGCGTAGAGTTTTAGGAGAAGAAGTTGGAAAGGTGATGGGGGAAGATGGTGTAGGGACTTGTTAGCCACAGTGAGGACTTTGGCTTTTGTTCTGAGTAAGGTGGGGCATGGAAGGTTCCAAACAGAGGAGGGACGTGACCTAGCACAGGTTTGCACAGGCTCCCTCTGATCTGACCACTCTAGAAGGTGAGGGTGGGAGCCAGGTGACCAGGAAGGACGTGACTGCATTGGTCCTGCAGGAGATGACGGAGGCCAAGCCAGATTAGGGACTCTGGAGACTATCAGATATTAGTGGGCCAGGCACAGTGGCTCATGCTTGCTATTCCAACACTTTGGGAGGCTGAGGCAGGAGGATCGCTTGAGCTCAGGAATTCAAGACCAGCCCGGGTAGCATAGTGAGACCCCATCTCTACAAAAAATTAGCTGGGCATGGTGATGCTTGCCTGTGGTTCCAGCTACTCAGGAAGTTGAGGTGGGAAGATCACTTGAGCCCAGGAGGTGGAGGCTGCAGTGAACCATGATTGCGCCATTGCACTCTAGCCTGGGCAACAGAGTGAGACCCTCTTTCAAAAGAAAAAAAAAAAAAACAGAGAAATAGTTGGATTCCACAGTTCCCAGCCTGGGGCACCAAGAAGGAGAGAGGACTATTGGGAGCTCACTGTGGGAGTAAGAGGAACAACCCTCACCAGTCCCATGAATTTTAGGGACTAAACATCGCCAAGGTTCTGGTTTTTGCTTCATTTCTTAATAATAATAACAATAATAATAATAGTTACAAAGCACCGATCAGGCACCATGCTGAGGGCTTTACTTGTATTAACTTATTTAATCCTCACAACAACCCTGTTGGGTTGGGAATATTATGATCCCCCCTTATGGATGAGTAAACTGAAGCACAGAGAAGTTAAGCAACTTGCTCAAAGTCACACAGCAGAGGCAGGATTTGAATCCAAGAAGCTGGCTCCAGAGACTGTGCACTTGGTCACTGTGCTCCCCAGCCTCTAAACTGCTGCCTTCTCTCTGCAGAAAATAAAAAGGGAGACGAGACCTTTCGGCTCAGGATGGAAACAAGGTCAGGGCACCAGGATCTTGAACTGGGCGGGAGGAAGCTCTCACTTTCTGGGACCCAGATTCCTTAGCGGCCTTCCTTGTGTACTGAGTGGACAGTGGGAACCAGCCAAGCTTGCCTCTCCATGTCTGTCCCCCATTCTGTCCCTGCCTCCTGCCATGTCTGCATGTCCTCAGATGACCGACAGGCTCTACCTCAGCTGACATGCTCCGTGACTCAGATGCCCGGAGCTGGCTCCAAGCCCTGAAGCTCTCCCCGTGGTTCTCATTTTCTCCAGACACCCCAGCCCCCACCCCAGTCCTGCCCTGTCCATACCTTCCTTGCCCAAGTTTGCTTCAGATAGAAACATTATTGGGCACCTACTCTGTGCCAGGCCCTGTTCTTGGAGCCAGGGACCCAGCTATGAGCAAGGCAGCCTCTCCCTGCCCTGGCGAAGCCCACAGTCTATCAGGAGAGACAGACAATCACCAAATTATCATACAGAACCAATATGAAATGGCAAATGTGATTTCATGTGGCAAAGGAGAGGTTTACAGAGCCATGGGAGGCAAATCAGAGAATGATCTGGGCCTGGCGTGGTGGCTCATGCCTGTAATCCCAGCACTTTGGGAAGCCGAGAGGATCACTTGACCCCAGGAGTTTGAGGCCAGCCAGGGCAACACAGCAAGACCTCATCTCTTAAAAATAAATAAATAAATAAATAAATAATAAAAATTAAAAAATTAGCTAGCGGTGGGGGTGCATGTCTATAGTCTCAGCTACTCATGAGCCTGAGACAGGAGGATCACTTGAGCCCAGGAAGCTGAGGCTACAGTGAGCCATGATTGAACCACTGCGCTCCAGCCTGAGTGACCCTGTTTCAAAAAAAAAATGAATGATCTGGTGTGTGGGGTGTAGGTTGGGGAAGGCTTCCCAGAGGGAAGATACATCCCAGAGGGAAGATACATCCCAGAGGGAGTGATACATCAGCTGAGATGGAAAACACGAGAGGTGTTTCAGGATGAAGAGGCAGGAGCGAAGATTCCAGGCTGAGTGAACAGCATGTGCAAAGGCCCGATGGCAGGAGAGGGAACAAGGCTAACCGTGATCAAATGGAGGCCGAGGTGGGAGGAGGTGATGTGGAAGGGTGTCAGGATTGAGGCAAGGCATTTGGTCATTGAAGCAAGGAGGCAAGGTAGTCAGATTTCTGCTTGCTAAAGCTCTGTGTTGTGAGTGGCAAAGGGGACATGCGGAGACCTGGGAGGAGGCTACTGCACTAGTCCAAGCCAGAGACAATAGCAGTGGAGAGGATGGAGAGAGAGACGGGAGGACAGCGGGGGAAGACTGAGGCTGTGAATTTCCAGGTTCCAGAACAATCGAGAGGCCACAATGACCATCATGGAGGTCTCCCTGCTCACTGGCTTCTACCCCAACCAGGATGACCTCAAACAGGTAACGCAGACCCCACCTACAGGCTTCCTGAGCAGCCTTTCCATACTTCCCACATGGATGCAGTGCGGTGTCTACTCAAATCAAGGTTCCTGGGTTAATGCCCCATCGTCACTTCTGGGTGACTCCCTGCATGGCCTCAACCAAATATTTTCCCTGCTTGGGCCTCAGTTTCCTCTACTGTGAGGTTGACTGGACAAAGGCTGGAGCTCTAGGGCTAGGGGCCTTGGAGGCTGTCAGCCACCCTCTAGTCTCCACCCTCTGCCCCAGCTCACGAGTGATGTGGAGAGGTACGCCTTTCAGTACGAAACCAAGACAAGTACTAGCGACAGCACCGTTGTCCTCTACCTGGAAAAGGTGAGAGGGGCTGGGTGCCCTCCGCCAGAGATGTGTGGGCACCCCGGGGGCTGGAGAACCCAAGGTTGGTCCCCTGGGTGGTTTTGCAGAGAGCCAGGCCCTCTGAGATCAGTCCCTCCGGTTGCGATTCCTGTGGTCAAGGTCACATGGTCCGTGGTCATGGCCAACGCCAACAGCCAAGGCCTCGTAGTCAGTGCCACGAGGTCAGTGTCCCACGGTCAGTGGCCCTGGCCGGCTCAGACAGGACTCTGTTCTCTCCAGCTCTCCCATGAGAAAAACACAGTGCTGGGCTTTCGTGTTCACAGGATGCTGCAGGCGGAGTTCCTGCAGGCCGCCCTGGTCACTATCTACGACTACTACGAGCCTTGTAAGGAGGGGCCCCGTGCATGGGGATGAGGCCTGCAAAGGACAGGGCCAGGTGCCAGGCGATGAGAGACTGGGAATTGCCAAAAGGGAGCTGGGTCTGGGTGGACGTAAGGGGCGTGGTCTTATTGGAGTGACCTTCGTGGGCGGGGACAGGAAGGAGACGGGGAGAAGTTGAAAGGGGACTGGGCGTGGCCTGCTGGGAATGGGTGGGGAAGGGGCAGGCTCTTTTGAGTGGGCGTGGCCTGTCGACAGAGGTGGCTGGCCAGGGCCCTTCAAAGTGAGGTTTGAAGTGAGGCAGGGCCAGGAAGAGGGGAAGGTCTGGGAGGACCTGGAAAGCACAGCCCAGTGACAAGGAGAGGCAGGAAGGAGCCTGGACTTTGGAGGATGGGGAAGACAAGGCCAGGGCCCAGAGCAGGTGAAGACCAGGCCAGGTAGGCACTGAACCCCCAGGAACACTGGCCCAAGACAACGCACCCCCCTCAACCCCTGCACCCTCCATTCACAGCCCGGAGGTGCAGCACTTTCTACAACCTGCCTACAGAGCAATCTTCCCTGCGAAAGATCTGCCACAAAGACGTCTGCAGATGTGCAGAGGGTGAGATGTGCCGAGGGTGAGCCCCATGCCGCCAGGCTGAGGCTGCCGGGTTGTGGGGGGTGGATCCAGGAGCCCTTCAAGCCTCCTCCTGGCTATAGTCTGGCCTGAGTTTAGACAGAAAGAGAAAGAGACAGAGACAAAGAGAGACAGAAAGAAGGCACAGAGAGACAAAGCTTGTCACACACACACTCGCACTGCCAAGGATCAAACGACATGGAGACAGAGAGAAAGACACAAAGAGACAACGACAGGAGAAATAGACAAGAAAGTGACCAAAAAGAGAGGCAGACGCTGGGCATGGTGGCTTACACCTGTAATCCCAGCACTTTGGGAGAGGATGGCTTGAGGCCAGGAGTTCCAGATCAGCCTGCGCAACAGAGTGACCATCTCTACAAAAAAAAAAAAAAATTAGCCAGGAGTGGTGGTAAGTACCTGTAGCCCTAGCTACTTGGGCGGCTGAGGCAGGAGAATCACTCGAGCCCAGGAGTTGGAGGCTGTAGTGAGCTATGCTTGTGCCACTGCACTCCAGCCAGGGTGATACAACAAGACCTTCTCTCAAAAATAAATTTTAAAAAGCCGGGCTCAGTGGCTTACACCTGTAATCCCAGCATTTTGGGAGCCAAGGTGGGTGGATCACTTCAGGTCAGGAGTTCAAGACCGGCCTGGTCAACATGGTGAAATTCCATCTCTACTGAAAATACAAAACTTAGCTAAGCGTTGTGGTGCATGTCTGTAGTCCCAGCTACTTGGAAGACCGAGGCACGAGAATCGCTTGAACCTGGGAGGTGGAGGTTGCAGTGAGCTGAGATCATACCACTGCATTCCAGCCTGGGCAACAGAGCGAGACTCTGTCTCAAAAAAATAAATAAATAAATAGGTCAAGTATGATGGCTCACACCTGCTGTCCCAACACTTTGGGAGGCCAAAGTGAGAGGATTGCTTCGGCCTAGGAATTTGAGACCAGTCGGGGCAACATAGTGAGACTCTTCATCTCTTAAAAAATAATAATAGGCCGGGCGCGGTGGCTCAAGCCTGTAATCCCAGCACTTTGGGAGGCCAAGACGGGCGGATCACGAGGTCAGGAGATCGAGACCATCCTGGCTAACACGGTGAAACCCCGTCTCTACTAAAAAATACAAAAAACTAGCCGGGCGTGGTGGCGGCGCCTGTAGTCCCAGCTACTCGGGAGGCTGAGGCAGGAGAATGGCGTGAATCCGGGAGGCGGAGCTTGCAGTGAGCTGAGATCCGGCCACTGCACTCCAGCCTGGGCGGCAGAGCGAGACTCCGTCTCAAAAAAAAAAAAAAAAAATAATAATAATAATAATGAGAGCGAGAGAAGGAAAAGAAAGGAAGGAGGAAGGAAAAAGAAAAAGAAAAAGAAAGAGAGAGAGAGACAGAGAGACAGCCCCACAGACTAGAAGGGCCAGATCCAGAGACCCAGGCCTGGGGGCTGAAGGGAGGGAGGGTGGGGGGTTAATGGGAGGAAGTCCCCTGTCCCAGTGCAGCCAGAGCAGCCGCCCACCTGATCCTGCAGGACAGTGCCCATCCCTGCAGAAGCCCAGTGGCCAATTGAGGCAGGAGGAGCTCCAGACAACAGCATGTGAGGCAGGCGTGGATTTTGGTGAGTGTGGGGAGCCGCAGGGGACAGGCAGAGCCCACTTGCAGGCCGAATGCCAACACGACACCCTTCTGCCCTCCCCGTTCCCCAGTGTACAAGACAAAGCTGGAATCTGTGGAGGTCTCTGCCTCCAACCCTTACGTCTATTACAACATGCAGCTCGAAGACATCATTAAGAGTGGTATGTCCCAGGTGACAAAGGAAGAATCCCAGTGTGGGGTCACCCTGTGGGCCTACCCTGGGGGTCCCATTGTGTGGGAGGGTCAGACTTATGTGTGCGCACACACTGGGTTTTCTCCAGGCACAGATCCTGCCACACCCCTTGCCATGAAGAAATTCATCTCCCACGCCACCTGCCACGACTCCCTGGGGTTGCAAGAACAGGAATCGTACCTTATCATGGGCCAGACGTCAGACCTGTGGAGAATCAAATCTGAGTGCGTGAGGGGCTCCACCTGTCCTGGGAACTCAAGCCTGGGCCCTCTTCCTTACCCTCAACCCAGCCCTCAGTTCCACAATTTTTGCTGGAGGTTCCAAGTGATTCTCCTGCCTCAGCCTCTCAAGTAGTAGCTGGGACTACAGGTGTGCACCACCACGCCTGGCTAGTTTTTGTATTTTTAGTAGAGACGGTGTTTCATCATGTTGGCCAGGCTGGTCTCGAACTCCTGGCCTCAAGTGATCCGCCCACCTTGGCCTCCCAAAATCCTGGGGTTATGACCATGAGCCACTGCACCCGGCCAGGGAAGCATTTACTAATTCCCAGTGATTTGGACTAAGAGGGTGGAAGACCAGAGAGGGCCTTTGGGTGGGGACACTACAGGCTAAGGCTCTGGCAGGCTGTCAGACAGGGCAGGGCAGGGAGGTTGCCATATCCCCAGGGTCGCCAGGCCCTCCTCACCTTCTTGCTTCTTGTAACCCACAGTTACAGCTACGTTCTGGGCAGGGAGACGTTCCTCATGCTTTGGCCAGCAGATGGAGATGCCAGCAAGAAAGAATTGCGGAAGCAACTGGACGAATTTTCGGAATATATGCGCACCCATGGCTGCGAGTCCTGAGCCTCCTCAGCTTTCAGGGAGGTGACACCAGGCAGCTCTGGGCCACTGGGTTTAACCCCAAATAAAGAGCACAAGATATCACACCCAAACCCTGGACACTTGTCCCTGTTGCACCTTTCACCAGGGGACCTGCACAACCTGCTCTGGCATGACGTGGACCTGTCTCCTCCCTCCTCCCCCGCTACTTGGGTGGCTGAGGTGGGAGGCTCACTCGAGCCCAGGAGTTGGAGGCTGTAGTGAGCTATGCTCACTACATTTGGCTCCGTTCTGACCACACTGGCCTCCTTTGTATCCTTCCAGCATCCACCTCCGCGGGAAGATGATTCCCAGCTCTGGGCTTTTGCACCCACCATCCCTCTCCCAGGTGCACCCCTCCCCCTAAAGTCGGCTTAGCTTGAATCGTTCCCTTTTCTGGGCTCTGTTTAATTGTCACCTCTGGCATGGTGGCTCATGCCTGTAATCCCAGCACTTTGGGAGGCCAAGGTGGGTGGATGTTAAGTGGGTGTTTTCCCTGCCCCACAATGTCAGCTCCTTAAAGTTGGGGTTGTATCTGTCTTATTCGCTGTGGTATTCCCTGTTTTTACAGCAGGAGCTGGAACTCAGTAGGTGCTCAGGAAATGAGTGTTGACTCAGTGAATAGACGGATGGATGAATGAGTCAGTGAATAAATGGATGGCTGAGTTTGATGCCCACATTCTGAGCTTGGCCCTAATGGTTCACTTGCTGTGTAACTTCAAGCAGCTTATAGTGATGGAAGCTTTGTTTTGGTTTTGGTTTTGTTTTGTTTTGTTTTGTTTTTTGAGACAGAGTCTCGCTCTATCGCCCAGGCTGGAGTGCAGTGGTGCGATCTCAGCTCATTGCCACCTCTGCCTCCCAGGTTCAAGCAATTTTCCTGTCTCAGCCTCCTGAGTAGCTGGGACTACAGGTGCCCGCCAGCACGCCCGGCTAATTTTTTGTATTTTTAGTAGAGACGAGGTTTCACCGTGTTAGCCAGGATGGTCTCGATTTCCTGACCTCGTGATCCGCCCGCCTCAGCCTCCCCAAGTGCTGGGATTACAGGCGTGAGCCATCACACCCAGCCAGATTCTAGATTCTTAGATTCTTAGTACGGTTTTTTTTTTCTTTCTTTCTTTCCCTTTATTTTTTTTTGACAGAGTCTCACTCTGTTGCCCAGGCCAGAGTACTGTGGTGTGATCTAGGCTCACTGCAACCTCTGTCTCCTGGGTCCAAGTGATTCTCGTGCCTCAGCCTCCCTAGTAGCTGGTATTGCAGGCATGCACCATGATGCCTGGATACTTTTTGTATTTTTGGTAGACACGGGGTTTTACCATGTTGGCCAGGCTGGTCTCGAACTCCTGACCTCAGGTGATCTGTCTGTCTTGGCCTCCCAGAGTACTGGGATTACGGGCATGACCCACTCAGCCGAGATTCTTTATCTGTGTCTTTGCTGTCTGTTTCCCCTACTGGGCTGGGAGCCCCAGGAGAGCAGGGAGGCTGCCTGTCTTAGCCACAGTTATAATCACAGACACATTCAGGGCCTGGCACATAATAGGTGCTCATTTTGCTGAATGAATGATTGAAGAAGTAAAAGAGAGGCCGGGCGCGGTGGCTCAAGCCTGTAATCCCAGCACTTTGGGAGGCCGAGGTGGGCGGATCACGAGGTCAGGAGATCGAGACCATCTTGGGGAACACGGTGAAACCCCGTCTCTACTAAAAAATACAAAAAACTAGCCGGGCGAGGTGGCGGGCGCCTGTAGTCCCAGCTACTCAGGAGGCTGAGGCAGGAGAATGGCGTGAACCTGGGAGGCAGAGCTTGCAGTGAGCTGAGATCCAGCCACTGCACTCCAGCCTGGGTGACAGAGCGAGACTCCGTCTCAAAAAAAAAAAAAAAAAAAAAAAAAAAAGCAAAAGAGAAAGGGAGTGAGAGAGAAGAAAGGGAGGGAGGGAAGAAAAGAAAGATAAAAGGATGGAGGGAGAGAGGGATGGAAGGAGGGAAGGAGGAAGGGAGGGAAGGAAGGAGGGAAGGAGGGAGAGAAGAGAAAAAGAGAAGGATAAAGGGAGGGAGGGGAGGGGAAGGAAGGGAGGTGATGGGGAAGAGGGAAGGAGAAGGAAGAAAGAAGGGAAGGAAAGATGGCAGGCAAACTGGCTTATGGCCTGTTTCTGTACAGTCCTCAAGCTAAGAGTAGGGTTTTTTTGTTTTTTTGGGTTTTTTTTTGAGACAAAGTCTTGCTCTTATCACCAAGGCTGGAGTGCAATGGGCGATCTCTGTTCACTGCAACCTCTACCTCCCAGGTTCAAGCAATTTTCCTGCCTCAGCCTCCCCAGTAGCTGTGATTACAGGTGCTCAACATCACACCCAGCTAATTTTTCTATTTTTAGTAAAGACAAGGTTTCGCCATGTTGGCCAGGCTGGTCTCGAGCTCCTGACCTCAGGCGATCTACCAGCCTTGGCCTCCCAAAGTGCTGGAATTACAGACGTGAGCCACCACACCTGGCCTTTTAAAATATATATATATATTTTGAGACAGAGTTTCGCTCTTGTTACCCAGGCTGGAGTGCAATGGTGCACTCACCACAACCTCTGCCTCCTGGGTTCAAGCAATTCTCCTGCCTCAGCCTCCTGAGTAGCTGGGATTACAGGCATGTGCCACCACACCCAGGTAATTTTTTTGTTTGTTTTTTTGTTTTTTGTTTTTTTTGAGAAGGAGTCTTGCTCCTCGCCCAGGCTGGAGTGCAGTGGCGCGATCTCGGCTCACTGCAAGCTCCGCCTCCTGGGTTCACGCCATTCTCCCGCCTCAGCCTCCCGAGTAGATGGGACTACAGGCACCCGCCACCACGCCCGGCTAATTTTTTGTATTTTTAGTAGAGACGGGATTTCATCATGTTAGCCAGGATGGTCTCGATCTCCTGACCTCGTGATCTGCCCATGTCGGCCTCCCAAAGTGCTGGGATTACAGGCATGAGCCACCGCGCCCAGCCAATTTTTTTGTATTTTTAGTAGAGACAGGGGTTCTCCATGTTGGTCAGGCTAGTCTCGAACTCCCGACCTCAGGTGATCCACCCTCCTCGGCCTCCCAAAGTGCTGGGATTACAGGCGTGAGTCACCGTGCCTGGCCTTAAAACATTTTTAAAGGATTGATTAACAACAACAACAACAACAATAGGCTGGACACGGTTGCTCCTGCCTGTAAGCCCAACACTTTGAGAGGATGAGGTAGGAGAATCCCTTGAGGCCAGGAGTTCATGATCTGCCTAAAAAAGAGCCAGGTGCGGTGGTGTGCACCTGTAGTCCCAACTACTTGGGAGGCTGAGGAGGGTGGATCACGCCACTGCACTCCAATCTGGGTAACAGAGTGAGACTTGTCTCTAAAAATAAATAAAAACAAACAACAAAGAAGAATGTGCAACAGAGAACCTATGTGGCCTGAAAACCTAAAGTACTTATTATCTGGTCCTTTACAGAAAAAAAAAAAAAAATTGCCTACTCCTGAGTTAGGGCATTTGTTATCTATTCCTACAAAACAAATCACCACAGCTGGGCGCGGTGGCTCATGCCTGTAATCCCAGCACTTTGGGAGGCTGAGGCGGGCAGATCACCTGAGGTTGGGAGTTCGAGACCAGCCTGACCAACATGGCGAAACACCGACTCTACTAAAAATACGAAATAATTAGCCAGGTGTGGTGATGGGCGCCTGTAATCCCAGCTACTCAGGAGGCTGAGACGGGAGAATTCCGTGAACCCGGAAGGCGGAGGTTGCAGTAAGCCTAGATTGCACTACTGTACTCCAGCCTGGACAATAAAGCAAGACTGTCGAAAGGAAGGAAGGAAGGAAGGAAGGAAGGAAGGAAGGAAGGAAGGAAGGAAGGAAGGAAGGAAGGAAAGAAGGAAGGAAGGAAGGAAAGAAGGGCCGGTCGTGGTGACTCTCACCTGTAATCCCAGCACTTTGGGAGGCCGAGGCGGGAGGATCACGAGGTCAGGAGATCGAGACCATCCTGTGAATGGTGAAAGCCTGTCTCTACTAAAAATACAAAAAATTAGCCAGGCGTGGTGGGCCTGTAGTCCCAGCTACTCAGGAGGCTGAGGCGGGAGAATGGTGTGAACCCTGGAGGCAGAGCTTGCAGTGAGCCGAGATAGTGCCACTACACTCCAGCCTGGGCAACAGAGTGAGACTCCGTCTCAAAAAAAAAAAAAAAAAAAAAAAAGAAGGAAGGAAGGAAAAATGGGAAGCTCTGCCGCAAGCCTTTATCATGCACTTCTCCCCCAGAACCAGAACCTGCACATCCTGCATCCCCTATTCTTCAACATGGAAAACACTTGAGTAGCCATGGACAAAAATATGTAACGTTTCTTACTGTGTGTACACAGGGACCTTCCTCCTTCTGGATCAAGCACTTCTTTTTTTTTTTTTTTTTGAGACGGAGTCTCGCTCTGTCACCCAGGCTGGAGTGCAGTGGCCGGATCTCGGCTCACTGCAAGCTCCGCCTCCCGGGTTCACGCCATTCTCCCGCCTCAGCCTCCCGAGTAGCTGGGACTACAGGCGCCCGCCACCTCGCCCGGCTAGTTTTTTGTATTTCTTAGTAGAGACGGGGTTTCACCGTGTTAGCCAGGATGGTCTCGATCTCCTGACCTCGTGATCCACCCGTCTCGGCCTCCCAAAGTGCTGGGATTACAGGCTTGAGCCACCGCGCCCGGCCCAAGCACTTCTTAATGTGTAACTGTTTGGAGGAGGGGTCCAACACGCTCTGCTTTTGCAGTCAGAAAAGGAAAAAAAGGGCAGAATATCATGCTTAGAGGGGAGGGAATGCTATCGGCAAATTTAAAATTCCAAAATGTAGGCCAGGTGTGGTGGCTTATGCCTGTAATCCCAGCACTTCGGGCGAGGTGGCGGGCGCCTGTAGTCCCAGCTACTCGGGAGGCTGAGGCAGGAGAATGGCGTGAACCTGGGAGGTGGAGCTTACACTGAGCCGAGATCGCACCACTGCCCTGCACTCCAGCCTGGGCAACAGAGTGAGACTCCATCTCAAAAAAAAAAAAAAAAAAAAAAAATCCAAAATGTAAAGTAGAAAGAGGACATTGTCTGGCCATCCCACATCCCAGAATTACAGGTCTGGTGTCTGCACCAACTGGCTTTTTTTTTTTTTTTTTTTTTTTTGTTAAATGGAGTGTCACTCTGTCACCCAGGCTGGAGTGCAGTGGCGTGATCTTGACTCACTGCAACCTCCGCCTCCAGGGTTCAAGTGATTCTTCTGCCTCACCCTCCTGAGTAGCTGGGACTAAAGGCCCGCACCACCACACCTGGCTAATTTTTGTATTTTTACTAGAAACGGGGTTTCGCCATATTGGCCAGGCTGGTCTCAAACTCCTGACCTCGTGATCCCCCCGACTCAGCCTCCCAAAGTGCTGGGATTACAGGTGTGAGCCACCACACCTGGTCCCAACTGGCTTTTTTTCAGTACTTTCCCTCGGGGCCTTCTGGCCTTGGTTCTCCTCCAGAATGTAGGATCAATGATAAATGATGGATGTTTCTGCTGTCAGGAGCTGAGATGTGGCAGCGGCCCCTGGAGTAGAGTGAGGGACCGCTTCCCACAGGCCACGCCTTAGGAAAAGCAAGTTAAACCAAAGTGGTGGGTGTGGTGGCTCACACCTGTAGTCCCAGCACTTTGGGATGCTGACGTGGGAGGATCACTTGAGTC